GTCCCGGGGAGGTCACTTCAGTGCTACAGTCTGCACACTCCATTGTCTATTGAGACAGATGAATGTAAACAATCCCAGGACTCTCTCTGCCCCACCTTCCATCTTTGGTTTTATTTCCTCAGCTGACATTACCCACCCACCTAGCAAAAACAGCCTCTAAAGGAAAGCAAACAGTTTATAGTTTAAAGATATCCAACACAAAATGGCTGAACAGTTTCATTTCTTCACACAATAATTTGAAACATTTTTACACTGACTTCAATTTAAAAGTTTCAGGGTGGTTTACAACAGCTAATAAAAACACAATAAAAACTGAACGTCAATACTAATAAAAATCACAGTAGAGGGGAAAATATATCAGCAATTTAAAGCTTGTAGAAATAAAAAAGGAGTTTGCTTGGTGCGTAAAAGACACAAATGGAGTCACCTTGAGGAGTCCACAAATGAGGCACCATAACTGGAATGGCTCTCCCCTCTCCCTGCCTCACTTCAGATGGTCAAGCTACTCAGAGGAGGGTCTAAGCACCAACACTTAAAATTATGTTTGGGAACAGACCAGAAGCCAAATGAGCTCTTTAGGCTCTGGCAATATTTCTTTCCCAACTCCCAGTCCCTGTTAGTCACCTAGTGGGTTTTTGGTTTTTTTTAATAACTAAGTGAAGTATCCAGATAGTGTTCAAAGGCAGCCACATATACAACACATTGCAGCACTCTAGCCTGGAGGTTATCAAAGCAGGGATAACTGTAGCTAGACTCTTTCCAACAGGAGGTGCAGTTGGCACACCAGCCTTAGGTAATGAAAAGCATTCTGAGGGCATTTGAGCACTTCCAGACTATGAGCCTGATATTTTAACCCATCCAGAACATCTCTTAGGACCTATCAACAGTACCCTGGCCTTGTCAGTACTATCCTGTCCATTATTGCCTTCAGGCATACACTAGTTGTATTTTCCAAAAACTGCTGAAGACATTTGATTCCAAGTGAATCAGGGGTGGGCAGAAATTAGGCCCATGCCTTGATTGTTTGTATTGTTTTTAAACCCATACCCCGTGGTTGTTATTATTGTTTTAAAACCCTTATTTGTTTTGTTCCTATCGTATGAATGTAAATTGCCTTGAGACTTATGTGAGAGGTGATTCATAAATTAATATAACAACAGCAACCACTCTTCAGACTATATAAAACAAATATGGCCGGGATAGAGAAGGTGCAAAGTGTATTTTGGGTAATCAGGAGGCAGGCGAGCTTTTTCCAGCAACATGTTCAATTCTACACGTCTTTAATCTGAAGTAAGCCCTATTAACTTCCAGTTAATGATGCAGATATAAGAGAAAAGTGCCTTTATTTCAAGCAAGCAACCACAGGATTCCAGGAATTAGGAGGGGCAGGTGCGTATGGGGAGGGTAGTGCAGCGCTGCCTGTATCCACAAAAAGCTACAGAAGGCTAAACAATTGTCTGTTAGCTGACATTTTCATTACCAACCATGCTATTTGTCATCTTTAAAGAACCAGCATCCGTCAAGAAAACCTGTATTTTGAAAAAGACAATGAAATTGGCAATTCTAGAGTTCCTGCAGAACAGAACTATCTTGGGACAGTCTGGATCAAGAGACTAAGGCAGCCTCTCAGGTTACAAGCGTGTGGATGGCTGAAGACAGGTCATCATCTAACAGGATGGAATGCAATCTCCTGTTCCGATGTAAAAGGAATAATATATTTTTAGCAGCTGCTTATTATTTGAGAATCTATTGTTTATGATGACTACAGAATTATTCTGGAGCTGCAGATCCAGTTAATAAGAGGTGGGGAGCCCAATGGAAGGAAAAATAATCCCACCACTATAATTTAATTTCACTTTTAAGTGTGTGTTAGGCCATTCTCAAACCTTGGAGATTGCCACTTTAAACATTCTCTTACTCAAGAGATGAGACTTCTCACAGGTTTGTACTGCCTCAGTTTCTTCAAGAGAGTTTCTGATTTGATAAGTGTTTCCATGTGAAAATACCATGAATCACCTCTTAAATTCCCATCTCGGGCAGACGGCTTTGCAAATCAGCCTTTCATTTGAGGTGAGGTGTCATTTTCCTGTTTGTATGGCCAGGGGAGCAGCTGCCTCCCCCAAATCAATACAAATCAGGTACTGTACCCCCCAATTAAAGCCTGCCCCCCACTAACAAAAATACTGGCTACACCCATGCGTATGGCTGCAGGTTCATTCAATGGGAAAATTGACATTATGGAATCCTGTGCTTTGTTAGCAAATTAACCTTCAAATCAGGTTCCAGTTAGCGCAGTGAGAGTGTATGATATAAACCACACAAAAAGCACAGGTAACTGTGATGTCCCCTTCTTGTGATGGGATGGGACAACAGTGGGAGTGGTTTCTGATGGCTATTAGTAAGAGGATATATTAATTGTATTTGATCTGATACAGGCCCATGTGTGTGGGTTAACACAAAAGAAAAGCAACTTGTGCCTGTTTTTATAACAAAGGGGTTGCACATAAAGAGCCCCAGTAACAGAGTTTAAATCCCATTATTAGACAGCTTTAATGAAGCATAGGAATAGGGTTTTTAAACCTTCTTTTCATCATGCTTCAGCTCCTCACAGCAGCTGGCCCCCTTTCTGTTTTGTTTTTTTTAAATAAAACAGACCACAGACTACAAGATAAGTTTAAAATAATTTACTTACAGTTACTAGGTCTCAGACTTGCACATTCCTTTGAAGCAACGATAAAATGCAGGTAAATTTTCTTAGTTGAAAAATATAAAGCAAGGTAGCCTCGGATACCTTTCTAAGCAGAGAGTTCAGTTGAGGCATGACTATCTCCTTCATGTGCAGCAGAAGGGAGAAGTGGAGGGTGAGAGAAAGGAACAGGCAGCAAGCCTTACTTCCTCCTCTTTGGAGAAGAGCAGATGTGGCATCATAGTCTGCTCTAGGAATTTAGAACTCTGTGGTCCTTAACCCCTTCACACACCAACTAGCAATGTTAGGTTTGACTGCAAATCTCCCACGGTCTCCCCATGAAACCTCACAGTTCTCTGCATTTTGTAATACAGTTTTCCAGACAACCCTTCAGGGAGATGTCAGGCTATTGTAACCTGATTTTTACCAAAGTACAGTGGTACCTCGGGTTACAAACACTTTGGGTTACAGACGCCGCTAACCTGGAAGCAGTACCTCCACTTAAGAACTTTACCTCAAGATGAGAACAGAAATTGCACAGCGGCGGCACAGCGGCAGTGGGAGGCCCCCATTAGCTAAAGTGGTACCGCAGGTTAAGAATGGTTTCAGGTTAAGAACGGACCTCTGGAACGAATTAAGTTCGTAACCAGAGGTACCACTGTAACAGAAGCTGTAGCTACTGGCATCAGTGTCCTCAGAGTAGTGCCTGCACAGGCTTCTTACCCCTAATTTTTATTTTTTAATTGAGATTTTCTCTCTCACTCTTTAGTGATTATTTGGTCGGGGGTTGGCTGCTGCTTTTTGGTCTGTGTTTTATTTGCTTAGTGGTGTGTAAGTGTTTTGCCTGTTTTTTGGGAAAGGAGCTCTGAACATTTCTAGTTTTTCTTCAGTGAAATGAACTGGTTGTGCTGCCCCCAAGATGATCTAAGATTTCCAAATGTGCAGCTAGGCCCAACTAGACTGGGGCCCTCTGTGGCAGCTAACAAGGCTGTGTGCTGTTTGTCCCCAGACTGATGTGCCCTCAGCTCTTCTCCTCACCCCACTTCTGTGGACACAATGGATAAGGCACAGGAGGTCATTATAAAATACCTAGATCTATGATTTCCTCATGGCACATTTTGTTTACATATGAAGAAGAAAAATGTGAAGGAGTAATTTCAAATGAAATAGAGATTAGTCTTAAAATTCAAAACTGTGGGTTTTTACAGTACTGTACCAGTGCCTCCTTTCATTTGATTTGACAGCAAAAGAAGTCTTAGAGAGCTGAGTTGTTTTTTAAAAGAAAAATATGAAAAAGCTATTATTTGCTGTAAGAACACAGGAGAAGATATTTTACCTCAAAAGATTGCTGAGGATTGTTATGGGTTTATATTTTTAGCCGAAAATATTTGAAAATCCCTGCCTCTTAAATGCCTCTTGCGTTATTTTGGTTTAAGATTAATGTTGAAAATATGCATCTGTTTTAAAAGCAGACATTCCCATCTTAGGGTTTTGTTGTTGTTGCCTGCTCATGTTTCCTCATGTGCGTGTGCATGCATGTGGATAGTGCCATTTTAGCTAAGTAAGGAGTGGCACTCAGAGTACTGAATCTGCCATTTGTATATATGATGATGTCTGTGTGTGTGTGAAGAATTCACTTAACCTTGTTTTTCCCAGAAGACACAATTGCATGAGAACTCGTTTCGTGAGAAATGTTGATGGAGATTATAACGTGCATGGCCATTCTGTTATTCCTTTATTTCTAGACTAATGTTTCAAATTGGTTCATGAGTCTGCCAGATCCCTACCATATATAAAGGCCTTTGATCAAGTTAAAAAGTTGTGGCAAGCAGGAACCAGCCCAGCCCAGTCGCAAAATATTTCAAGCTGAGAATGGGGACCTGCTGGCAGTATTGCTACGGTACTTACAGTGATAGAGATGAGATCAGGCCTTTTGGTAGGGGCAAGGCAAGCTGTTCACAATTAAAATGACAAAGGTCTGATGATGGGCATCAAGAGAGAGACAGGTGCTTATATAGTCCAATGGTTTTAGTTGCCACCCATGCGCTCAACTCTTGCCTGTGGGGCTATGGGTTAAAAACCCACCTTTCAGGGCACCTCAAACTTTTGGAGTGGGGCCATAGCTCTGTAGAGCTCATGCTTTATGTGCAAAAGGTCTCACGTTTAATCTCCCTTGAAAAGGTATCAGGTAAGAGGTGAAGTGAAAGAGTAGGCAATGGCAGAACAGATAGCTGAACAGTCATCTTGTTGTAAGCCAGAAATGGCTTATCTTTTGAGTTAAGCCAATAAAACTCAGAGACTAGAGGAGTTAGGAGTCCATTGTTGTTTATTGCAAAGCAATAGGTTACAGTCAAATCTTTTCACAAAACTGCAACCCCGCCCAAAGGTCCTGGGCAGGAGTATTTATAAGTTTCAAACAAAGCATTTCAATTTCCACCAATCATATACCTCATTACCTCATGTTTAATACACATGCGCAGTAAGTGTTGCTAACTAAACTTTGATTCTCACAGTGATCTGTTACATTGTGTGAGTATGTATGTTGGGAACCTGTGTTACGTGTAGCCATTTGCACCATGTATCAACTTATGTTCTAGCTTATAAACTGTATCTTTGTGATTTACCTATTAGCTGTCCTTCTGTCCCAGTGGGGGACGGCATCTTGAAAAATCATGTTTCTTAAAGCAGCAGGTTACCACAACTTCTCTATTAGAGGCATATTCAAGGATTTATAGGGGTTCACATTATCACATTCATTATGGCCTTTTGGGCCACTACCACAATCTAACTATCAGGCAGCTTCGAATGTTTGAAACAGAAGCTACCCAAACAAAGTCATGCTCCACTTTTGTGTTGGGGGCTAGGTAATTGGCACACTGCTGTCAAAGAGCTAGGAACTGCTCTTTTGCTTTTTTTAATGGAGAAACTCAACTGACAGGTTTTGCTTCCACAGGCCCGAGCATCACATTACATGTGTAATGGATACATGTGTATATATGTTAATAATACCTTCAGTTTGGGTACAACTGATGATATAGTAATTTAGAGGCACAAATTTTTGCAAAAGCCACAAAAAATCAGCTGGCAGTGAATAAAGTAGAAGACATAGGTAAAAAAATGTGCCCCAGGAAGTATCAATTCTTTTTTATATATATAATGGGGTTGTTTTTCCAAACTTGAATTTTTTGTGGCTTATTTAGAATTTTGGCAATGCTGCTGCTGGACGATCATTTCACCAAATGGCTAACGGCTTAACTCCTTGCCAACCAGCCAGAATCCCCCTAGGCTCCCTTAGCAAAATAAAAGCATATTATAACACTGGGGAAACCTGAGAAACTGATTGAAGAGGAAATGATTTATTATAAATAGTAAAGGTCTCAAGTTGCCACTCGTATTTATCAAGGACCCTGAAATAGTTATCTAGATTAATTTGCATTCAAAGTATGTCTGCAAGGAACAGCTTCCAGCAACTCATTTAAATGAGTTCTAAATTACAATAGAAATACCACCAAAATTACATTTTTCTTGGCTTACTGTAACCCTAAAGCTCATTTGGAAGCACCTGCAAACAGTGTTGGTTGCCAAAAAGAGAAGGCAGGATTCAATTTCATTCGACATAATAAATTTTGTAAAATACAGAATTTTAAACTTTTACAGAACAAAGAACTTATTGTAACTACGGCTGATTATAATTATGGGTAGTTTCATAATGTACAATTCTGGACCTCTGTGAAAAGGTCATTTCAGATTCAGGGTAAGGTTGCCTGTATTTTTCCTATTACTGGGTACACACAGCACCCCCAACTTGTTCAGTTTTTGGCGATGCTTCCTAAAGACATCTGCTTGACACTATTTCAGATGCTCTGTCCCTGTGACAGACTGCAGGAGCTGACTTTCTTTCCTCCACGTAAGTTTTAGCTAGATCCTTTTCTTGCCCCCACATTCCCTTGCACCTGTTTGTTACTTTCCTTAGGGAAAATACCTGCAAGTTTGGGGGCAGGGGGTGGGGCGGAATCTGTTGTCTTACCAGATTAAATGAGTTCAAAGGAACCCATGTTAAAATAACAAACTAGTTTCCGAAAGCAGGCATTTGTCTGGCTCTCCAGGTTTTTGGTTGATGATTTTGGTCCCACAGGTAAACACAGGCCATCTCCATTGGTGCATGGGGCCACTGAGTTCTGCCAAATCCGCAAAGACGTCAGAACCATCCCCACTGCAGACTCCTACACCATTTGAGATGTTATATCTTTTCATGTAAGTCAAGAAACTCAGTTCTTTTTCTCCTCCAATTTGCTTCCAATGCACAGCAGGCAACTATAGTGACTCAACATTTTTATTAATTAATTAATTAATTAATTATTAAATTTGTTAGTTGCTTTATCTTGCCCAAGTCAACCCAAAGCGAATTATAACCAACCAAAAAATACCAACACAGATACAATAAAACAAAGGGAGGGGGGAAATACATTAAAAAACATCCCACCCACTTCTGCCTTCTTGCTATCTCTTATATTTTCCAAATCCCACTCACCTCTGACACCCAGAAGGCAGGAAAAACTACTACTTTACGTATAACTTCCTTCAACCACTTTTCTACTTCTTTCACTTTCTCCACTGCAGAAGTTGGGTCTTTAAGAATGTACCACCTCATAATTCCATCCTAGGCAACTCTCTACATTTGTCCTCTCCCCTCTATCTCTGCTGTATTAAGTATTTGTGCCAGCAACGTGTGGGTAATGTACTATTAACCCTCTCTATTCTGTATGTTCCTGTAATGGCATTTCAAGCTGCAAAGTTGTTTTTGTTGTTTCTAAGTAAATTCATGTTGGCATTTATTACCTTTGAACATTTACTCTTTTCATAAATAAATAATTCAACTGAAACAATAGTGTGGTTATTTGCTAGGTCTCTGGAGCAAATGCACCAAGGCTGATTCTTTACCGAAGGTCTTGCACAGTTCAGCTGTCCTGCTCAAGTTGTTTTTTTGTACCAGTGTAGGAGGTACCAAGCAGTACCAGTATAAAAGAGACCAGCACTTTACAAGAGTACCTGGTTACCATATTGGACAGCTTCGGACAGGCTGGAGTGGGGGAAAGCAGGTGCTGACATTAGTTCCACTGAAAAAATCCTTTTAGCCAAGGAATGCTGGTACTTCCAAGTAGAAAGGAAAGCTATAAACAGTTTCAATTCAGACAAATTTTTGAAAGTGTGTTGAATACGACTTCCCGTATTTTATGTCCAGAACTCAAATTGTGAGACAATTCTGAACCATATATCTTGGAAACACACATAGTTGTGGGCACTTATATCAAATGAAAAGGGAATGGAAGATGTCAGCCTCTGGAGACCCTGAAAGTGATTTGGCCAGTGACGCACTCCATAGTTACATTCCCTTTGGATTACTGTAACAATGCTTTCTATGTGAGGCCTCCTTTGAAAAGTGCTCAGAAACTTCAACTGGCTCTAAGAAAGGGCTGGTGCTGTGCTGCTTATTGCAATTATGTTTTTAATATTATTATTTTTAAAGTGTGTGTGTTTAATTTTAAAAATGTTTAATTTTTAAAAAATAATTGCTTCTTTTCTATGTTTTCAGCTGTTCTTATTTTTATCTGTAAGGTGACTTGAGTTTATGTCAAGGAAAAAAGTGGGGTATAAATAAATATCTACTACTATTACTAAAGTAGCTGGAGCTGGAAGAGACCTGAAATTAATTGCAATCTTTGAATATTTCCGACTTAATTTATTTAAAAGGCAAATCTGGCACAACAATTTCATCATAGACCACTTCCATGGAAACAATACTAAAGGTTCACTCTTGCAAAGGTCTTGGACTTGGGTGTGGGGAAGGGGGGGCAGACAGCAAGGTGGTAAAAGTAACTCTGAAACAGATTATCTTACAAATTCTGAGTGCAGATCTCCAAAAGGTTTCCCTTCCCTTTCTTTCACAGAATTGCCCTGGTGACTTGGAAATACAAAATTCTGTTTTCTTTTTCTCAGCATACCATCCCAGGAATAAATACCGTTTTTTCTATTTCAGCATTCCCTTAAGGTGATGCTGGAGTCCGAGAGTTGATGGAAAAGAAGTTAGTTGGAAAGCTACAGGCAAATGAACCATCAGTCTAAAATACACCTATAATCTTAGGTTTGTCTCTTATTTTAATGGTCTGGATAGTTTTCAGGATAAAATATTATTTGCTAATAGTAGTAAAAGTAACAAAGAATTAATTAAAATCTCACACTGCAATAGAGCGCTGTAGTTCCAACATTACAGAAATATTATGAGAACCTGGATGAAAGATCTGTAGCAGCAGAAGCGCTATCTTCTCAAGCTGAAGCAAGCAGCTACACCCCTTCTAATTAACTTTATTTTACTGATCAGGCGAGGACTTCCATCTTACTATATATTGCTATTAGTGAAATTTTCTAGACGTATTCTGTTTGGATCTTCTGGATGTCTTAATGCAATGCCATTTCGCAGCAGAAGTTCAATATAAGGAGCCCAGAATGAAGTGGTGATTGATACATATGGATCATGTGGTGTGTTACTAAATTTGTGGATAAGGCTCTGAAAATGAGAATGACATTTAGAAAACAATGTTAGCTTTGATCGGCCAGACATAGTGGCTGCATGTGCATGCAATGCTAAACTATGGTTTCGTGCTACCTGCACAAGCAGAGATGAGTTTGAACAAAGCCTTCACTTTCAGAGAACAGAACTGTAGAATTGGAAGGGATCCCAAGCGCCATCTAGTCTGACCCTCTGCGATGCACAGAATCCCAGTTTAGTGCATCCTTTCCTTCCTGAGTTAATGCAAATGCACTCAAGGGTTGCAGACAGCTTCCTTTCTGTTGCTACTGTGCATAACTAGACATGCCTGTGCTGGGCCCATTGTTATCATCTAGCCCAAGGGGATTCCACACAAAAAGCTGCTCTTCACTAGGGGCCAGGAAAATACCTTTGTCTAAGGCTGGTTTTGCATTTAGGTGTCTGTGCTCAAGTAGAGAGCAAGATGGAAGAATAAGATGGAATAAGATGGAAGGCAGTTTTCCATGTACGTTGAGCTCAATCCATTTAGTTTTCCAAAGGTCATAATAGCCATTGGGAATTGGACCCAGAAGACAACAGGGCATGATTGGCTAGCCTGTGGCCCTCCAGATGTTGTTGGACTCCTATCAGCCCCAACTGTAGCACGGGTGGGAGTTAAGTAGGGGGGAGGGGAAGTTTCAGGCAAGATGAGGAGGCCCTATGGGTCGCATCTGGGCCCCAAAACAGCATGACCAAACTATTCACCAATCCCTGGAGTAATTATTTAGCTATTTATCCATCCCAGTCTTTACCTGCAGCAAACACAACAAGTGTTCTTACCTCTAAAATTTCATGTAATGATATTAGTTGTACATCTGGCTCTTTAGATGAATGCTACAGGAAACAAAACAAAAGATCTATGTCATATTTAAGGCATGCATTTTAACAAAGGAAGGGAAGTTTTAAAGATAAGTTGTTTTGAATGCATTTCTCTTCTTTTGGACTTGAAAAAATGAATTTGTGCAAAAGTAGTTGAGCAAGAATGTCAGTGAGATTGCGCATTTGAATGTGATAAGTGATGAAATAAGGATGCATCCTCACTCAAATGGCGCATGTAAATGGACATCTGATCTACATTCACAGTTCCTCATTCACCAGGTCACAAAAATACAAAAGTCTGTTTACATGCACGGACTTGCAACAATTTACAATAGCACAGTACATCACACTAAACCAGGGATGGGAACCTCAGGCTCCAAACCTCTCCCCAGGTTACAACCTCCTTCCCAGGTGACAGTCCCTCTCCACACCTTCCGCAGTGTTTCTTCCTGGCTGGAATGCATCTTTGAACTTATTTGCTTGGATGAAGGGTGTGCTGGAAACTCAGACCTTTGCATAACTGGAATATAGCCGACTATATACATATGAGAGTCACACCTGTTGCTCCATCCACTCTTGGCTCTGGCCCTGCCCATTTTACCTCTGGTCACACTCACTGGTATGCAACCCTCAGAAGGATACACACAAGAGAAAGTTTTCTATCCTGCAGTAAAGAATGGTTTAGTGTGATGTGCATGAGCTGAAACAAATCTGACCAAGCCATGGGCTTTTTACTTCCCTTTCCTGTGTGATCAGAAGGACTTCAGCAGTGTTTACCTTCGGTTTCAATTAATCGTGGTTTCTTGGTGTCTGCAAACCGGGAACTGTGGTTCGTAACAAACTGGCTCAGTTTTACAACGAGCCATATTGAAACCATGATTACTCTAGCTGACGTGTTAAATTAACCAGAGACTGTAATAAGCCATGATTCTTGGTTTGAATACAACAACAGAGATTCAGTGAAAACAAAAGCAGAAACTGTCAAAGTCCTCCTCCACGCTATGTGGGTAGAACCTTGAGTCTCACATAGGCCAGTTCCTGCTTGCACATATAATGCTAAACCATGGTTCTGCATGATATGCAAATGTGACACAACAGCATTACAAAACACAAGGATCACATCCACAAAATTGTGATTGTTGTATGCACCACTTATTTTTTAGCCCTTTCGTTTTGAAGTACTTGATTATTTACATTCAGTACGCACCGCCCAACAACAGAAATTCTCTGGGCAGTTTACAAGTACTTGGCATCCTCCAATCCTGGCAATTTCATCTGTCATTTACAAATGGGTATTGATGATCATTTGTAAATGTATGGGAGGAAGACAAAGATTCTCCGTGTTGTCAGGTTCCCGTTTCTCCCCTTTATTAGCCTAATTTTTGCTGCTTTTAAATTATATTTGCATTCAACTGTTGAGTTAACCAGGTAGCTTAAAATCATTTTCCAAAGCAAATATAAATATGCATCTTTCCTCACACACAAGTTTCAGCTTACTACAAAAGGATACCATTTCTTTCAGGAAAATATCTAAGTGGGTATGAGATGAATGCTCAGTATTTATTTTATATAACTATAAATATCCATCTTTCTTAAAACACTATAGAAACCAAATTTGCACAGGCCCAGTTGTACAATCTTTAAAGTGAAAATAGAGAGGCTGACTTCAAAAGCTTTGCCAGCTATGGCCACCAGGGGGGTATAGCAAGCACTCTGCTGTCAATTATATCTCGGAATGGGACTGAAGATACCACAACCTATAAGCTGCTGGGTGACACAGATTCTAGCAAGAGTTTTAAGAAGGATGTAGAGACGCACTAGTTTCTATGGCCTGCAAGACTTACAGGGGAGAGGGAAACTGACACCACAAAGGGGAGAAGCATAGGGAACTGAAAAGAAGGAAGTTAAAAATGGAGAAATGGCTAAAACCAGGGATACTGAAAGAGTAGAAGGTGGGCAATTTGGGAAAATTTAGGCTAGGAGAATCAGGCTCAGAGATTGAAGGTGAGCTCAAAAATTGTGTGAGTGCATCTAGCGACAGCAGGGCTTCAGACAGCAATGATTTCAATTATATATCAGAATGGGACTGCTGGGGCATTAAAGCTGAATTAAAAGCACAGCATTTGAACTTCCATTATTGCTTTTAATTATGACAGTATAAAAAGGTAAAAGTAAAGGACCCCTGGACAGTTAAGTCCAGTCAAAGGCGACTATGGGGTTGCGGCGCTCATCTCGCTTTCAGGCTGAGGCATTTGCCCACAGACAGCTTTCCAGCTCATGTGGCCAGCATGACTAAACCACTTCTGGAGCAGCAGAACACTGTGACAGAAACCAGAGTGCATGGAAACACTGTTTACCTTCCTGCCACAGCAGTACCTATTTATCTACTTGCACTTTGACGTGCTTACGAACTGCTAGGTTGGCAGGAACTGGGACAGAGCAACGGGCGCCCACTCCATTGCAGGGATTTGAACCGCCGACCTTCTGATTGGCAAGCCCAAGAGGCCCAGTAGTTTAGACCACAACGCCACCCACATCAGAAACTTCTTAGCTTAATATTAATGTGAAAATGACCATACTCTTTTCTTTCTTGTAGTTACATCATCAGGGAGAGGAAAATGTTCTTCAAGGAACTCGCCCAGAGCAGTCAAGATCTTATCCTTATACGGTTTTATTTTCAGCATTCTGGTTTTGATTTCTTGAAAGGCTCTAAGGTGTTAAAAAAAAAAAAAGGTTAATTGCAATAGTCTTTTTTTAAAAAGTGATAAACTTGCAAACAAAAATTATTATCCACACCAAAGAATTTAATTATGCAATTTGCTTAGTAGAATGATTCTAATTTCTATAGCTTCCCCTTCCTAAAACTGCAAAACATTATGAATACCTTTCTTCAGAAAACTCTACAACTTGATTGTGATTTTCTTCCTCTGTTTGATTGAGGCAGTCCATTAGCTGCTGCTGTTCCTCCAACCATTGCTGTTCCCTTTAAACAGATGTGGGAGAAAACAGTAGACAAATACACATTAGTTTTGTAGAACTGCCAAATCGGTTCCAGGATAATACTGAATCCAGCACATACCTTACTAAGTCTTGCTTCAATTTTTCGTTCTTTGCTTGAATTGTTGATAGCACCATTTCAAGATCCTGGTCTACTTCCTGCAACTGAAAAGATAAGTGTGCTCTTTATAGAAATGTAGTTCTTCGTTACTGTACTTTAAAAATATATGCACTGTGGTGCTCTGTGCATTTGTATGCCTTATATTTCAGTACTATACTATCTGTATGCTTAAATACGAACACAGAAAAGTAGGTACTCATCCATCTTTTTCACATGAATAGGAAAACGAATCAGCAAACAGGTAAAATAAATACATAGCTTTGTAAGTGATTTTCAAACTCTTATTCCAAGGAACTTTGTGGTTTCTTGGAATCTTCTGAGCAGTTCCTTGGTGAAAAGATCAGAAATGGCAGACAAGCTTCTCTGAAAAGCGGAGTGCTCACAGAATAATCTTTTAGAACTCCAGGAGGACTGGGTAGAAGGGATTTCTTCTCCATGCACTAGTTGTCGTTCTGCATCATTAGCACCATGGGTTGTATTCAGTGCAAGGATTACTGCTAGCACAAGAGGATTTCCTGCTTACCCTATCCCTGCATTCCCCCTAAATCTGTTCTGTGGGCTCCCCCAACCCTCCAGAACATATCTGGGGAGGGCACAGGATGGGGGAAGAAGGCCTGTTGTGCTAGTGGCAATCTTTGCCAAGATAGGATGAGTTAGTAGGATACTAACTACTACTTCTCTTGAAGGCTTTGTAGGGAAAATCTGTATATGCATACATCAACCTTTTCTAACCTGCTCTCTCCAGACGTTTAAGACCATGATTCCAATCAACCCCATCCAGCATGGCCATACTAGGTTGAGGAAGGTTGGTGTATGTCATAACTGTTCATCGTTTAACATGTAAGACACAGAACCTAATACATATCAGTGACCTGATAAGTCACAAACACAACAGTAGCTTATTCATCATTATTGAGTTATCTTCTCAAACGTAAAAGATGCCCTAATACCAGTCAATATGAGCCAATGTTGTAGCTCACTAAATTGACCAATGCCTCATATGTCTTAAAATGCTCTGTAGATGCAGTAGTTTCATGACACATTAGGAGACAAAATTGATAGGAAAAGTAGAAACTTTGGAAATCACTATCCTAGACCAATCTTCTCTGTGATGCACAAGAGTGCTTATAGTTTAGATTGCACATTTCAATTTCCAAGCGTTGGGACTTGAGAAAATAAAATGTATACAACTGTACAAAATGAAGGCTCTAATCTATTTTTAACAAATTTTCCAGGACTATTTAAATTCTCTTTTTCAGATGCAACATCCTTGTTAAATTCTCAGTAAAAATGAATGTGCTGGATCATGTAGTGTGATTTATAATTTACGAAACGACATACCAAGCAATCTTGATCCATAGGGCCATGCAGACTGATTAGCACCTAACACTATGTGTCCCTCAGTGGATGTAGGGTTACGTAGGGTTAAGCAGAGCAGTGTCAGTTGTTTTCATAAAAATCAATTAAAAACATTATGATCTATATGCCTTTTGTACAATTTTACAGATTTCAGATGTATCTTGATAATAAAAATGTTAATGCTTCTCTTATCGTGGAGTCAATTCTACACACATACACGAGAATGAGAACTTGAGATTTTTTTAGCCAATTGTCCAGAAAGCAGAATGTCAAATCAAACATGATATAAGAGGTGCAACATTTTCTCAATGCAAAGATGTTAGCCAGTCATTTTGTTGAAACAAAATATGTATTAGCATGTCTGCTTCCATGACCTTTCTAATGAGAGGTGGAATAAAATTGCTGAGAAGTAACCAAATCCAGAGAAAGGAAGGCAAAGAAGTTGTTTTTAAACCAAAAACTTTATAATTTGAATGTGAATTCATTTATTAGGTACAGTATAATTGCTTATTTTAGCAGAGGAGCCACAATAATCTTCCCAGCTAATGTTGCATAGCAATTCTTCAACCCTTATATTGAAATCCTATCACTAACACATTCTAGGTTTCCTTGTTAGCCCCAGATCTGGAAGAATTAAAGAGTAATATTTGCAGATGCTATTGCTATAAAACTTAGAGGAGTATTATGGACTGATGTCAAACGTATAACTTAGTTAAGATGTTTTAGGCAGGCCTAAACATAACTGAGTGAAATGTAATTCACAATCGGCATGTTGTAGCTACTAGTGCCTTGGTAGAACTTCCAATTTATGCTGCTTACCTAAATGACAGGACAGTTGTCACAGCTAATGGTCAGGATGATGAGTCACAAGCTGTACAGACCTAACATTAGGTGAATTTGGGACATATAGAATCGTAAAATTGTAGAGTTGGAAGTGACCCCAAGGGTCGTCTAGTCCAACCCCATCCAATGCAGGAATCACAGCTAAAAAATCCCTGGCAGATGGCCATCAAACCTCTGTTTAAAAACCTTCAATGAAGAAGAATCCACTACCTTCAGAGGAAGTCCATTCCACTGTCAAACAGCCCTTATTGTCAAAAAATTATTCCTAATGTTTATTCAGAATTTTTTATCCTGTATTTTTATGTTGTGAACCGCCCTGAGATCTGCAGATGAAGGGTGGTATATGTCAAGTTGTGGGTGAACATATCAGACGACACAGCGATTCTTCAAACAGCTCTTGTTTATTCACAGGCCAGAACAGAACAGAACTGAAGGGTTCAGCCAGCCTGCTTATATAGAGCTCCACTACAACGCAACAGTAACCACTTTCTGTAACTATCCAATCACTGAACGTCACTTTCGATCCCTTATTTGCATATGTGGACCTGAGTGAAAACTATCTACAGTATCCCCCTGCTGGCCCAGGGTGAGAACTTCAGTACATAAAAGTATATAAATCTTAGGGAAAGCTAGTTGAGTGTACAGGTAACTTGCATCTTACACGAGGGTTTGGTTCCAGAGGTATCCACAAAAACACATAAAGCCAGGAACCCCAGAACCGCCTCCCCCCCTCCGCAAGGTGGAGGGCTGTGTACCCGGCTCTAGGGAGGTGGTGCAAAGGTCCTGCCACCTTCCCAAAGCCCTGTAAGTGGGATGCTGACAGAGCCCTTGCACTGCCAGGTAAGCCTTCAACCACAGCTTTGCACAGGTGGGGGAGGGGGAAATAAATATATGGAGAGTGGGTTTCCCCTGCTCTTCATTTATTTATTTATCTAACCCCCCCACCCGCACAAAGCTGCAATCACGTAAGTAAAATAAACGTTAAGATGTGAGTTACCTGTATATCTAATTGTCTGACTCATACTTGCAAGATGTTACAACCAGCTCACCATAATTTAATAGACATACCTGGTGTCTTCCTAATGCTGTCAGAACGTCTGGATTCACGGGAAGTACTGAAAAACACAACAAGTTGCCATACTTTTAAAAACAACACATATTCGCAAATCTCATTTCTTTGAGTGAAACAATCAGCATTAGACACAATGCTATGATTACTACACATAACATATTACAGAGTGAGCAGAAGTCCACACAGAATGAATTCTATAAACAGCAAGCAGCATCTCATAAAAAACTTATTAGTGAATCCAAACCACTTTAAGACCAACCAGCAGCCTACATTGACCTATTGAAGGCTACAATCCTATGGTTGCAGGAAGGGTGCCCTAGGGGTTACTGAACTCTGCACAGCTCCCTCTCTGTAGGTGGAGAGAGAGAGAGGGAGGGAGAGAGAGAGATCTATTCTTGCAGAGAGGTCTGGTTGTGAAGACATCCGTACAGCAACAGCAAAAAGGTAAGTGCTACAACAGCAAATAGGGCAAAACAAAGAGCAAAAATGGCATTCTAGCAATATTTGGAGGGAAGGTGGACACACTTTCCCATTTCTCCCAGTGAAAAGGGAAATCCTTTTTTAAAAAACAAAAAATACACTTAAAAACCTCAAAGGGGTGGGGGAGAGAAGGATTTACAATCCCCACCAACAGCACCTTTTGCCCACCAGTGCTATCCCAGAAGTTCGTCCACCACTATGCCTTCTGCCTGGTAGGCTTGCTCTCAGGAAGCTGTACTGTTTACGATTTTATGAAATAAATACTATGAAATAGAGTTGGAAGGGTCATCTAGTCCAACCCACTACAAAGCAGGAATCTTTTTGCCCAATTTGAGGCTTGAACTCAGGACCCTAAGTTTCACACTCTACTGACTGAGCTATCTCTTTAGTTTATCAAATGTACTGAAAGAAAGATGCTTGATGGAAAATATTAATGAAATCTTGAAAGTAGAAAAATCAATGAACAGAAAATTTACAAAAGTTATGTTTTACAGGCTTAGCGTATAATGATATTATATTGGAAGTTACAAATGTAACCTTTTTGTGGAAACTTCAAAGCCAGAAATAGGCTTAGCAAAAAACAATGATGGAAAAATGCTTACATTCAAGGCTGAATGGATAAACAGATGGACACAGCCCTTCAGAGATGTCCTCAAGAGATTTAAGGCTTTGAGCAGAAGATTTTAATATATGAAGAAGTTAGCATTGGCACAACCTAGAAATGTCAATAAAATCCACTAAATATTGCTGGGGAATATCTATGTTGCCTTTAGGCCAAACACCTCCTAAAAGGCACCTGATGTAAAATAATTTTTGAAGCTATAGAAGTTTCAAGAACTAGACAGGAAAACACCTGAGAAGCCCATGTATATCACTGTGAGCACCATGTTAGAAGGACATAAAGGTAATGCACAAGGACACAGTCCATGAACCAGTGCTGAATCTTCTGGCAAACACCAGCATCCTTAAAATCTAGAGACACAGGGTCCACAGGCTGTGTAACATACGGTGTTCCTTTTGGGTAACTGGTAGGGAACAACATAAAATACCACAGTCAAAAGCCACAGGTCTGAGGTGCCCTGTTCTAAGTTGGGGTCTACTTGGACAGCCTGAAACAAATGCAGACATTGCCAGAAATTGTTCACACAACTATCTGTGCATAAGGGCACTAAAATAGCCAAGCCGTAGATTGAGGCCTAATAAATTCTATATTTTAACAACCCATTTGATGACGTAACTTCCATGTTCAGAGCATTATATTTGTGAAGTTTTGTAGCAGAACTTTCCTTATATTGGACCTTTTGTTTATATCAGATGGGGAATGTTTTTGGCTCTACAGTCCAGGTTCTTGTGAGGAATGGCCTTGCAAGCTCAGTTTGACAGGTGAGTAGGACCACCCACCTGACATCACAATGACATCAGGTGCAAGTACTGCTAAAATGAAGTTTTCTTCATTTTAGCATGGGTTTCAATGCAAACAATTTCCTGAATCAGGAAGGGTTTTCCATAGAATCCTGCTGTTTGGCTGCCTGCACATCTTCCCCGATGGGAACAGGTACACATAACCAACACAGGATTTAACGCTAACTTCCCACCCATCAGTTGATATCATGAATTATGCCAGTTGATGGGTGGATGTGGTTTGGGGAAAATTTCCTTGTGGGTCAGTTTAGACCCCCTAGGAGGCCAGAGTCCCCACCCTTGGTTTATAAGGTGCTCACTAGCAATACTGAAGTCACTAACACAAAATCAGCACAATTTAAACCATGTAGAGATAGTCATAAGAATTAAGCACATTTTGAGCTGCGTTGTAATACTTTGCAGCCCAGTAACAATTCTGCAAGACTTTGAAACAAGTATAAGTCATTACTGGTTAAATAACTACACTTTATCTCACATTTGCTGTTTAACTACGTCTTATCTTTGCTTAGCCTAATTTGTTTAGACTGTTATGCTATACCCACTTACCTGGGACTAAGCTCCACAAGCTTTAATGGGACTTTCCATTCTAGAATTACATGTAAACAATCCTAAACATGCCTATTCAGATGCAAGTCCTATTAAGCTAAGAGTACAGTGGTACCTTGGGTTACAAACGCTTCGGGTTACAAACACTTCGGGTTACAAACTCCGCTAACCCGGAAGTAGTACCTCGGGTTGAGAACTTTGCCCCAGGATGAGAATGGAAATCGTGTGCCAGCAGCGAGGCGGCAGCAGGAGGCCCCATTAGTGAAAGCACGCCTCAGGTTAAGAACGGACCTCTGGAATGAATTAAGTTCGTAACCCGAGGTACCACTGTATATGGGATTGTAGCCTGGGTAATGTTTTCACATGTTCTTAAAGTTGCTGTTAAGATTCACCTGTAATAATATCAATCCTGCTAATTTAGCCATTATATTGCAATGTTGGTTGCCGCAAAGTTTTGAATCATGTTTTGAATAATGAAGCATGGTTCCTAGTACTGTGACTCTCATGCTCTCTTTTTAAGGAATTGGCCAAATGATCTACAGGATGCATTATTCATGCAGAATTATTCTTCCTTACAATTTACACAGGATTAAAATCATATTCCTGATATTAACTTTCATCAATAATGATTGGCGTTGTAGGTGCTGCAACAAATGCTTGGTTTCTTTTGGATAGACCATAATTAGAAATAGGAGGCAGAGTGCACTGCAAAGTCCACTGTGTGCAATAAGACTAATCTTCAACCAGTTATTGTAAGTGATAGTCCATACCCAATTATATAAAAGCATGTGATATCTGAAATATTGCAAATACAAGACTGGTGCTCCAAATATTTACTAACCTAAAAAATCTCTAAATTTGTATGTTTTCCATCTACAACATGTGTATCATTTCTGAAAGATTGTTGTCATTTGCTGCTGTACTACAGGAGTGTCAAGATAGGCCATTTGGAAGAATAGATTTCAACAGAGTAAGAAAAAATAAAAGAGTGACAGCATGAAGTTGATCAAGAAACACAGAGAAGGCCTAAAAATACGGAGAATGGTACACAACAGATAACAGAAGTGGTAAGATTATACATTCCATAGAAACCAGGACACTTTGAACATTCAAGGTTTCATACCCCTTGGCTTTAAAATTCTGAAAAATATTTGGATTAAAAGCTTTACCGTCTGGTTTTCTCTTCTGCCATTGGTAAAGCTCCGCTGAAAGAGCCTTCACCCTTTTCATTAACAAGGAAAGCTGTAATACATAGCAAATGTTGAAAGGTACTTTAAAAATGTTTTATTACACTTGAATAAAGAGCAGACCACTTAGAAGTACAAACTGGAACATTTAGCCAAATAATGGTATACAACCACTTTCCCAACCCCATTCTCTAACAGAATATTCATCATGGCAGAACACCACATTCTGATGATACAGAAAAGCATCAGAGAATAATGTCTGGCACAGAACCTTCCCCCGTGCCAGGAGCTGCCTTTGTTCCTTGACCTGGGGCAGCCACTGCCAGTGGCACTGTGTGGTGCTTTTCCAGGCTGAGGTTCTCCATGGAGGAAAGTGCAGGATTGCAAGGACCAAAGGAGCAGCCTATGCATCTAGCAAAGGAGAAAGGTTTTGTAAGCTTTATTTATTTATTTATTTATTTATTATGGAATAAGTTCCACTACTTATTGTTAGTGGAAAGGTTTCAAAGTCATAGATTCTATGATACAATTTCACATATATCACAATGCATCATGCACTTATGTTTCCAGCAGCCCTCTCCAAGTTTCCATTTAGCTCATGTTCAAGACTTCCTTCCATCACCAGCCATGTGAGAACCAGGGTGGAGTGAGGAGACAAGGCCAAACACAGTTCTAGCACATGTTTAGCTGTTGTGGTATGAGCAAAGGCCTGTGTCACAACAAGTACTGTTCAAAACATTAGCAGTCACTAGCTGACACAACTGTTGCATTGCTGTGTCAACTATGTTTATGGCTGTTAGTCATGATGGATTTATATTGTGCCCTGATGTTTAAAAGCATACCTTCTGCGCATGCGTGTGATGTCATTTTGCGCTTCTGTGCATGCGCCGAAACCCAGAAGTAACCTGTTCCGGTACTTCCAGGTTCGGCGCAGTCGGCAACCCAAAAATGCTCAACCTGCAGCATTCGTAACCCGAGATATGACTGTATGTTAATACCAATGGCATAATATGGGCAGAGGGGCATGCTATTGCCTTTGTACAATAGCACAAAGCATATGGCAGGCGACTGCAGGAAAGCTATCCGGACTGGTAAATCCCTAGTTTGTGCCAGTTCTTCTTTGGTTATTTACTCAAATTAAAAACAGCAGCATCTTTTCGGAATATTTTTTTCATTGGTAGTTATGGCTAAGCTGGTTGTTGAACCATTTAAAAAATTTTTTTAATTAATCCAAAGCATGTTTTCTTCAAGCCACTGTTGCATCTTTGAGATAAAGTGGGCTAGATATCTAAATAAATGTGTACATGCATAAAAAACTGGCTTGGAAATGTTTTAAATCTGGTCCCCCATGCATAGAAAGCTTTTTCACTGACAGTTCTGAAACTTTATCCTTACCTTGGGATCTGAATCTGAAAGTGTTTCTATTTCTTGAAGTGTTAATCTGTTCTGACACTTGGTTATAAAGAAAGGAGAGAAATAAAATTATACAAGTTTACATTGTGCTTGTTTTTCCCTTCCTTAGACCAACCAACAATTCCGAACATTTAAAAGCATTAGAACTCAAGATACTGAAGACACACCATCCAGCCAGTTATACTGTGTTCTCTTTGATTTCAACTTCAGAATTTATGAACTAACGGAATTCTCTCCCTTTGAAATAAATGAGGCCTAAAGAATAACTGACTTTGGATTGTATATCTTAGAAGTACAACTGATGACACCAAGCAATTTTCAGCAATTTTAGGGTGCCCCTGACTTTATGGTCTTCAATAACGCCTCTTCCTCTATTTTCCTTGCATTCCTCATTGCACCTTTTGTCTTTCATAAATTTTTGACCAGTTTTCATTAATGGAACTGTGCTGGTTAGATGTGGTTGACTGAAGGTTTTGCTTGGTCTTATATTTAATTTATTTAATTTTCCATTTCATTTATCACACATGAAATACAAGGGAGGACTAGCATCCACAAAAGCCATTTAAAAATTCTTTCTACTTTTATCTGCATTTTACTTTTTCTAGAGATGGTGTCTGCAGTGTGCTTAGGCACATGTACAAGCATTGCAAATAGAGGAATAAAAAACAACATTATTGCTAGTTATTTGTTCCTGCAACTTCATTCATCACATCAACATACATCACTGCTGTAACAATATTCATCAATAGGATATTGCTCATTACCTCTTCCATTTGTTTCCACATTTCTTCACAATCTTGTATGAGTTGTTCTTTGGCACCTTCTGAACTCAGTAATGTGCTGCTGACCACTGGGGAAACTTGCTGCTCATCTAGACTCATCGTATTTTTCTCAGCCTATGAATAACATTGTTTCCATACTTGCTTTAATCACTGATAAACAGGTGGTATAGAAATGGTTTAAAACAGCATCACATGCACACACACACACAGGTGAAGCACCAAAAAAAGAGAGACCAGTTTATGAGCAGTAGTCTGACAGTTGTATACGACCACAGAGCCAAATAACTAACTGCCAGCTAGCAGCTGCATCATGAATGTAGAAATTATGTTTAAGCACAAGTTTGCAAGTCCAAAACAGAGCAAATAAAGTCAATGTGTCTTCCTTGAGGGCACACAGGTCTTCAGCAGTGCACAAGTTGCACACAAGGACAAAAGCAATGCTTGTAAAAAGTAAGACCAAGTGATGGGATCTATTATTCCCCAATAACCAAAAATCATCTTTAAATTTTTCATACTTATCAATTTAAGAACAAGCTTGCAACAGCTGGTGCCTTTGTTTTGTCTAAATTTGGCAGCTTGTGAAAGCATAGCTGTCAGGGGTTCAGGAGCAGAGGCAAGGGCAAGGGAGGAAACAGAGAGCGAGGGGGAGGAGGCAGAAGAAAAGATGAGTGATGACGACGACCCGAGATCTCGGGTCTTTCCAGTGAATCAGAAGATTCACAGAAAGGAGCACCAGTGGCCAGGGCAAGGGGGGAGCCTAGGGGGACGCCCCAGGAAGATAGAGCCAGAGGGGACTCAGAGGGGAGCAGTTGGAAATCGGGACCAGCGTCACCGCCAGAGAGCAGGGAAGAGGAAGGGAGCCAGGGATCAAGCGCTGGCAGCTCACACCAGGGGGGAGGGCACGAGTCAGGAGTGGCCACACCTCCATCGGGGAGCGAAGAAACGGTCAGACGGAAGGTGGAAGGTTGGGCGCGCGCCATGGTTCAAATGCACAGGAAGGTGGCACAGTAGGCAGCCCGGAAAGGGAGCCAGGTCCTAAAGCCCGCCGAAAGGAGGGAGAAGAGTCAGGGGGGTCAGCGTCAGAGGAATCCCGGAAAGAAGAGACCCCAGGGGGCAGAGGGACCCAGAGAAGAACAGTCAGGCGGAAAAGGTGGAGCAGGGCTAGGATATTAAGTTGGTGTACAAGGGCGGAGACTCAGACGGAGCTTCGCCGGTCTAACCATGAGACGTAGAGTTGCACGCAGCAGTTTGAGAATGGAAACTGTAACTCAATAAAGACTTTTGTTTAATGATCGCTGGCTAGCGTGATCCTCTGTGAGCTAGGATCTGGAAGCAGCTCTGACAGTAAGCTCCGTCTCTATAAATTGTGGGCATCTACAGCCTCGCGGAGAGGAGAGAAAGCGGGTGCCTACTAGCGAGCTCACGAAAGGCAGACAATATGACGGCCGAACAGCAGATAGCGGAACTCAGAGAAGCAGTGTCACGACTGAATGCCGAGGCTCTTGCATCCAGGAAGAGAGAGGAGGACGCAGCTGCCGCCTACAGGGATCTCCAGGTCAGGTTGGAAGTGCTTACGAAGCAAGGGCAACTGACACCCAAACCGGAGGGATTGGGTTGGGGAGACGAACAGGCGGTCTGGTCTCTCACTTCGATGGGAATTTGCAACAGTACCCCAACTTTAGAGCAGATGTAATGTGTGCACTGCAACTGCTGGACAAAGACTTTAGAGATGAGCAAGAGAAGGTGGGATTCATCATGTCCCATTTGCATGGAGATGCTAAAGCATGGCTGCGCAATTTGTGGAGAGATAAGGATCCGGCGCTCCAAAATGCGGATGCCTTTATTAAAGCGATGGATGGGTGCTTTTTATCAAGCATTGACGTGGATCTTGCTCGGCAGCAGATACATGGACTGAAGCAAGGGAGGGCCAGCGTAAGGCAGTACCATGCCCGCTTTTTCGCTTTGGTCAGTGCTCTGGAATGGGACAGAGATTCGGCTCCTGTAAGAGACCTGTTTTGGGAGGGATTGCACGGCTCGGTTAAAGATGAAATTGCGAGGGGAGAGACCCCGGACCACGCAGGAGATCGTTCAGAGGGCGCTGGCGGTGGGGGTGCGGCTGGAAGAACGTCCGTGGAGCAGGGACGAAGGGCGTGGAGGGCGCGAACCAGCCAGGGGCTCCTCCTTCCTTCCCAGAGAAGCAGCGCGTGCGCAATCCACGCCTCCGCCAGGAGGAGGAGCGGAACCTATGGAGGTTGGAGGTGCAAGGGCTCAGTCAGCAGCCAGAGCCCTAGCACCGGCAGCAGTGAGCGAAGCCTCCTAGAGGGAACAGGAAGTGTTACATCTGCGATGCTCCACAGCATATGGCGAAAGAGTGTCCCCAGAGGCTCCACAAGCACACTGCAGCTTCAGCAATGGTAACTGCAGCAACGCAGCAAGGAGAACCACAGCAGGGAAACGACGGAGTCTGGTTGGAGGAAGAGGCACTGGGGCCCAGCCAGACGTGTCAGTGAAGCAGTCCCCAGAGATTTTACAGCCCATGGACCCCCTCCCGCCCAAACCAGTAGTGAGGCTCACCGCGTCGCTCCAGCTGCCCAATGGAATCACCATGGACGTGCCAATCACCATTGACTCCGGAAGCAATGCGGACTTTATAGGGCAGGACTTTGTCGACCGGCACGCTATACAGTTGCTGCCTGCCACGCTGCCCCTGCAGGTTGTCACGGTGGATGGCAGGGAGCTGCTAGGGGGGCAAGTGGTGAAGCAGACGCCACCAATGGTGATGCGGCTTGGGAATCACAGGGAAATCATCAGCTTCAATGTCACTCAACTATCGGACACGCCCATTGTATTGGGCATGAGTTGGCTGGACAAGCACAGCCCGACGCTGGCTTGGTACCAGAGGCAGCTGACCTTCGGCTCTTCCTTTTGCGCTGAACACTGCATCGTGCCCCGGCAGGAAGGAGAGGAAGAGGAGTCACAGCTGCAGCTAGGCACGCTGCAAGCGGTTCCCCACAAGTACGCAGAATTTTTGGAGGTTTTCTGCGAGAAGGAGGCAGACAGGCTACCCACACAGACCATATGACTGCAAAATTGACCTGCTGCCGGGGGCGGCGCTGCCCAAAGGGAAGCTGTATTCCATGTCTGAGGACGAACTGCAGGAACTCAAAGAGTTCATAGATCATAATTTGGAGCGCGGTTTCATCCGAGAGTCCAAGGCAGCGGGGGCAGTCCGGTATTCTTTGTTAAGAAGCGGGACACGCCCCAGAAAAGACTTGTAGTGGACTATCGCATTTTGAACAGCGTGACCAAGCCATCGGACTTCCCCATGCCCCGAATCGACGACCTCCTCGCAAAGGTACGGAAGGGCAGCGTGTTCACTAAGTTGGACCTGCGAGGGCGTACAACCTCATTCGCATGCGGGAAGGAGATGAGTGGAAGACAGCCATGTTCACGCCCCTGGGCACCTACGAATATAGAGTTATGCCTTTTGGATTGCAAAATGGTTCCCACGTTTTCAAGCGTTCATGCATCACGTGTTGGCGGGGCTCCTCTACAAGACGTGCGTCTGTTTCTTGGATGACATCCTGATCTTTTCGGAATCGCAGCAGGAGCATGACAGACACGTCAAGGAAGTGCTGAGCAGGCTACAGCAACATAGGCTTTACGCCAAGCTGGAGAAGTGCCAATTCGACGTGACGGAGGTGGATTTCCTGGGCTACAAGTTGTCTGATAAAGGGCTCGCCATGGACAGCGCCAAGGTCCGAGCAGTGTTGGATTGGAAAAGCCCACGCAACCGGAAGGAGGTCCAACGGTTTGTCGGCTTTGCGAACTTCTATCGCAAGTTTATCAAAGGCTTTGCCATGCAGACAGCGGCCATCACGGACACGCTCAGCTCCAAGAAAAGAAGTTCATCTGGACAGAGCAGGCGGAGCAGTCCTTTCCAGGCACTCAAGCGTCTCTTCGCGTCGGAAGGGCAACTGCTTCATGTCAACCCCAGCAAGCCGATGAGGGTGGAGACAGACGCTTCGGACAGAGCCGTGGGAGCAGTCCTGCTGCAGAAGGACCCGCAGGGGTTTGGAGGCCGGGAGCGTTTTACTCAAGGAAGCTCAGCAAGTCCGAACAGAACTACACCATCTGGGACAGGGAGTTGCTGGCCATTCATGCAGCGTTCAAAGCGTGGAGGCACTTCCTGATCGGCGCCAAGCACACGGTGCAGGTCTGCACGGACCACAAGAATCTAGAGCACTGGCGCACGGCACAGTTCCTGAACCAGAGGCAGATACGTTGGGCTGAGTTCTTTGCGAATTTCGACTTCCGAATAGAGTATGTCCCGGGGGACACCAACATCATGGCGGATGCTCTCTCCCGTAAGCCGCAGTATCTGGAGGAGGCAACGCCAGCGGCCGCCATGCACATCTTCGCACCGACAGTGTGGGCGTGCACGGCGGCAACAGTTGACCTGGAGGCGGTGCGACGAGCGTTGCAGGATGACTCCTTCGCGCAAGCAAAGATGGCAGAGGCGCACAGGGGCACGGCAGCGACCGACGAGTTCCAGCTGCGAGATGGTTTGCTCATCCGTAAAGGGGCCATCTACGTGCCGGGAGACGAACTCGCGCCAAGGTACTGCAGCAGCTGCACGACGCGCCCACTGCCGGGCACTTTGGCAAGGAGAAGACGGTGGAATTAGTAGCCAGAGACTTCTGGTGGCCAGGAATGAGAGGGAAGTCGCGGACTACGTGGCGAGGTGTGACACCTGCCAGAGGGCCAAACCAGTGCACAGACCGCCGGCCGGATTGCTGGAACCGCTGCAAACTCCGTTCGAACCATGGGAGAGAGTGGCCCTGGACTTTGTCACGGATCTGCCCAGCTCGAGGGGCAAGACGGCTGTGCTGGTGGTGGTGGACTTGTTCTCCAAGATGGCACATTTCATTCCGTGTGCGAAGGTGGCCACGGCGGAACAAACCGCCAAACTGTTCATAGACCACGTGTTCAAGGTTCACGGTCTGCCGCGGTCTATTCTGTCCGACCGAGGGCGACAGTTCATCTCGAACTTCTGGCAGAGGCTGATGGGCTTCCTGAACGTCAAGATCAACCTGGCGTCGGCTAGACACCCGCAGACCAATGGGCAAGCGGAGCGAGTCAATGCCATCATGCAGCAGTACCTGAGATGTTATGCGAATCAACAGCCTGCGACGTGGGTGGATTACCTGCCTCTCGCCGAGTTCGCCTACAACAACACGAAGCACGTGTCCACGGGGGTCACGCCGTTCTTCGCCAACAACGGGAGGCACCCCAGAACCTTCCCGGGACTGGAAAGAATGGGGGAGGGAGCCGCAGACAGCAGATGCATTCGCGTCGGAGTTGCAGGAGGTCCACGATCAGCTGCGGCGGCACCTGGAGCTGGCTAAACACGCATACAAGGTACAAGCGGACAAACACAGAAGGGTTGGCGAAGAGATCCATGTGGGAGACTGGGTCTGGTTAGCAGCCCACGCAGTTCGGCCAGGTCGTTGGCGAAGAAGAAACTAGGGCATAAACAACTGGGGCCCTACCAAGTCGAAGAACAGGTCAACCCGGTGGCTTTCAGGCTGGCTCTTCCGGAGGGTTCCAGGATGCATCCGGTGTTCCACAGATCGGTGCTCACTCCATACAAGGCACCTCACAGGTTTCAGGAACCAGGAACGGCACCGGGTCCGCTCCGAGAGAGAACCGGGCAGGGGGGAGTGGCACGGGAGGAGCGCATCAACGAAGCCACGGAGATTTTGGACTCCAGATGGGGGAAGAGGGGGTAGAATACCTTCTCGCCAAGGAGGGCACCCCGGCCAGTGCCAACAGCTGGGTGCCGGGCTACGCTTTAGACGAACCTCTGCTCAAAGAAGAGTTTCATGCCCTCTTCCCACATAGGCCAATGCCAGCAGACTTTTCGACGACTGGCTTTTCACGCCCACGCTTTCAGCCAGCACGTTCCGGGGGTTCGACTCGGACGAGGAACCGACACGAGACGCCCGTTACCCGGAGGAGTCACCCTCGGGATCTGCTTCAGAACCCTCGTATTGGTGGGATGATCGACCAGAGGAGCAGTTCCGCAGAAGGTGGCTGGAGGGTCCAGGACGAGCAACGTCTCCAGAAGGTAACGAGGGAGAGACGGACATGGACGTTTTCGGGGACGACCCGGGTTTCGAGCACGGCGGCACAGAGATGGAAGCGGAGGTGACCGTCGTCAACGAGAGCAGGGAGGAAGAACCGGAAGACTTCAGATGGCGGCCCGCCACGGGAAGCGAACTGTATCCGACATTCGTCCCCTGACACGGCAGCACCCAGATCCCGCACCGGAAGGAGGGAGGGGAAGAGGGGGCTTCGAGGGGGATGGATGTCAGGGGTTCTGGTGCAGAGGCAAGGGCAAGTGATGATACAGAGAGCGTGGCGGAGGTTGAATAAGAAAAGATGATTTATGTCGACGACCCGAGATCTCCGAGTCTTTCCAGTGAATCAGAAGATTCACAGAAAGGAGCACCAGTGGCCAGGGCAAGGGGGAGCCTAGGGGACGCCCCAGGAAGATAGAGCCAGAGGGGACTCAGAGGGAGCAGTTGGAAATCGGGACCAGCGTCACCGCCAGAGAGCAGGGAAGAGGAAGGGAGCCAGGGATCAAGCGCTGGCAGCTCACAACAGGGGAGGGCACGAGTCAGGAGTGGCCACACCTCCATCGGGGAGCGAAGAAACGGTCAGACGGAAGGTGGAAGGTTGGGCGCGCGCGCAAGTTCAAATGCACAGGAAGGTGGCACAGTAGGCAGCCCGGAAAGGGAGCCAGGTCCTAAAGCCCGCCGAAAGGAGGGAGAAGAGTCAGGGGGGTCAGCGTCAGAGGAATCCCGGAAAGAAGAGACCCCAGGGGGCAGAGGGACCCAGAGAAGAACAGTCAGGCGGAAAAGGTGGAGCAGGGCTAGGATATTAAGTTGGTGTACAAGGGGCGGAGACTCAGACGGAGCTTCGCCGGTCTAACCATGAGACGTAGAGTTGCACGCAGCAGTTTGAGAATGGAAACTGTAACTCAATAAAGACTTTTGTTTAATGATCGCTGGCTAGCGTGATCCTCTGTGAGCTAGGATCTGGAAGCAGCTCTGACAATAGCTGATCAGAATTACATAGTTCTCTAATACAGCCACATGGGCAGGCTTGGCCTATACAGTTTAGAAACTTCAGTATATAGTTTAAATAAAAATAAAATAGTAAAAAGCAACTCTAAATACAGAGAATTTGAGGACAGAACATAAGCATAACAGGTTCCTCAGCATACTTAACATGAGGAAATTCTCTTTCCACTGAACTCAAATGCAAGGTACTATCAGTTGCAGTGGGTATCCTGAAAACATTTATGCATCTGATGAAGTGGACTCTAGTCTGCAGAATGTTATGCCCTAATAAGTTAGTCTTCAAGGTGTCACAAGAACCTTTCTTGTTTCTGTGTACACACACACGCACACAGAGTAATGTTGAATCTGTAAATAAAACCTCCATCTATGAACTGTCTGATTTCACAAAAGTAATAGTAACATAAACTGGTTTCTAGAGTGGGATGGAGACTTTTCAAAACTGAGCAAGCACCTAGCATTTTTAAGCTGGATTCTATATGTTGCTAATGATTAGAAATGTTTCAAGCAGGAATTTGTTGATTTCCAAGGACAATGCTAAAATAACAACATTGAGACTGTCTTCTTTTAATTATTTAACAGCTTTGATCAGCAAAATTAGTTTACCAAAGCCAAAAAAGACTTATGAGAGGTACAGCATTCATGTTGTTGTTGTTTAGTAGTGTCCGATTCTTTGTGACCCCATGGACCAGAACACGCCAGGCATTCCTGTCTTCCATTGCCCCCCGCAGTTTGGTCAAACTCATGTTAGTAGCTTCAAGAACACGGTCCAACCATCTCTGTCATCCCCATCTCCTTGTGCCCGCAATCTTTCCCAACATCAGGGTCTTTTCCAGGGAGTCCAGCATTCATACAAGGTACCAAAACAAAGAATGAAAATCTTCAACAATATCCTTGACAGGAGTAAAAATTGTTTTGAAACACAGTGTGTAAAACACCTTAATATAAATAACGAGACAGACTTGCAATTTTGAAAATCTAGAGACCAAATTGTTTGATGCTGCCCTTAGGAACAGATCTGTGGGAACATATGGACTTGAATAAATAAAGCATTAATTCATCAATGGTACAAGCCATACTCATTTGTGAGAAAGGCTGCGAAATTAAATCCCAAGGCGAGGTTCGTACCCACTGCCTTGTGAGACGTCTTCAGGAGAAGAAAAGGCTAAGGAGTAAACTCTACACAAATCCGGAATGGAGCCCCAAAACGGTTGGATGACAAGTTGTACATCTCTTTCCAGCAACTCCTGCAGCCAAACTGGTGTCAAATGTATTGCTCTGCTTTCCTTTGGACCACATCTGTGAAGCCCAGAGAGGGGTCTTGTCATCTGGGCAGCCCAGGACCTCCATACACAGTGCCCAGGCTTGCACCCCGATAGGTCACTTTGGTACCTTTAACACAGCAAAAACAACACAGGGGTGGGGTGGGGGGGGCAACAGTTACGAGTTACCGGTTTCTGCAGCCACAGCAGGCGCTGTGATTCTCCAGTGGCTTGACTTCACCCCCGGAAGCGCACTCCATTGTCTCTCTCTAGACAATGGATGCCAACAACAACAACAACCCTCACCTGAAACGCCTTCCCCAGTAAAACCAGTTGCTAACCAGAACCTTCAGATGAAGAACACAGAACACGGAAGAAAAGGATGCGCTCCCTGACGGAGGCTCGCCCAGACCCAGCAGCCAATGGCCGCCCACTCCTGACATTACCATGGGGATTTCCCGTTGCCGCCGCCGACCTTCTTGCTCCCCTCCGCTCGCTCCGAGTCGCCTCGCTCTGCATTCCGAACCTGCGCGGGCTGCGCTCTCATTGGCTGTCGGCGAGGGTCGCGGGCGGCGCGCTCCCAAGCGCGTCACTACCCAGCGCCGGGAAAAAGCAGAGTCAATATGGCGTCCGCGGAGCCGCCGCGCAAGAGGAGGCACGGCGAGGGAGAGGAGGGCGAGGCGAAAGGAGAGGAAGGGTCGGAGGAGGAAGGAGGGAGAGAAGAGGAGGGAGACCGCTGGGTGGGCCCTTTGCCTGGGGAGGCCGTGCAGGTGAAAAAGAGGAAAGGTAAGGGCGGGCGACGAGGAGGCGAGGAGCGGGGTGTCAGCCTCGCTGGACAGGGCGACTCTTCTTCAGCACTTCGTCCCTCCTCGTGTTTCCTTCGGAGCCTCTGGTGTCGGGTGGTTCGCTGCACGTTCCTTGGAGACGTGTTTAAATTGAGTTGCAGGCAGACCAAGGCTACCTGCTGCCCAGTGTGGGCACTGTGCTTGCGGATACCTGGCTCGGTGGTCGTGATCTCTACGTAACTAACTGTTCAGGGTGTTGGGAGGTTCAGCTGTTATGTCTCCTTTGCGCTCTTGACGCTTCTGACTTGACATGCTCTGTCTTGCATGACATCTCCCGTAAGAGTGAAGCATTTCTGTATGTGATGCTTAAAAAGGTAAAGGTAAAGGACCCCTGACAGTTAAGTCCAGTCGCAGACGACTCTAGGGTTGCGGTGCTCATCTCGCTTTACAGGCAGCATTTGTCTGCAGACAGTTTTTCCGGGTCATGTGGCCAGCATGACTACGGAACACCGAAACGAGAGCAGCGTACGGAAACACCATTTACCTTCCCGCTAGAGCGGTACCTATTTATCTACTTGCACTTTTGGCATGCTTTCAAACTGCTAGGTTGGCAGGAGCTGGGACCGAGCAACAGGAGCTCACCCCGTCGCGGGGATTCGAACCACAAGCCCAAGAGGCTCAGTGGTTTAGACCACAGCGCCACCCACGTCCCTGTCCCTGCAAGTGCTTACCTGGCAGTAAGTCTCCTTGAAAGCACTGGTGCTTACTTCTCAGTAAATGTGGTTTGAGTTAGGTTACAAGTTAAATAATAGCGTACCGGGCTGGAATTTCCTTCTCCTATACTGTAGTGGCTTAAAATACCACTGTATGCATTTTTATGTCTCGCTGAATGTTCTGGAGATTTTAAAATTCATTTTAAGTGGCACAGGTTGGGGTTCACATGTTTAAATGTATCTCTGTGTACACATGCATGCATGCAAACAATCAATCCCTTCACTCAGTTTCACTCAGCTTTATTTTTATGGATACTTAAGTCATGTGAGTAGTCTGAAGTAGTGCAGTCCAAGCACAATTTTGCTGCTTGTGTGACAACTAGTTATGTGTACACTTATTTGTTTGTGTTGGGATCAAGCCACATATAACATGATGATACAGCTACACAGCTGTTTTCATACCACAGTATTGAAAGAGAAGTTTGTTCAGTTTGGTCCCTTTTAAATCAAAATAGTTCAAATAACATTTTTGAAATGGAATACGATTTTTAGGAAACAATATTTCTTTATTTATAGTTCTTGAGTTTGAACATGTCTACCTGGATAATCTCCCCAGTGCTTCGATGTATGAACGCAGTTATATGCACAGAGATGTCATCACGCATGTAGTATGTACTAAGTAAGTCTTTTTTCTTCTTTTTCTATTTTAAGTATTGTAGAATTGGACTGGATGTATGTTTCAGGAATTGCATCTTGCCTAAAGAGTGCTTCATAACATTCCTGGATTGCAGGGGGTTGGACTAGATGTCCCTTGGAATCCCTTCTAATGCTACAATTCTATGCTTCTATAAGTGCAGCATAGCTCATCCTGCTTTTTAGCTCCAAGCTTAAGGGGGAAAGTTGTGACATGTCTTTGCTGCATTGAGTCTGTTTCGAGCATCTCTGAAGTGCGGCACAACTGTAAGAACCATCTCTAGAGTTTCAAACTCTGTAGGAGGACTTGAGACAGTCCATGTTGTAATATGCTTTGGAGACTCACCCAAGTGACCTTGTAAAGCCCAGTGTGAAATGGAATAGCATCTCTGAGGTTCAGCATGTTGTATTAAATATCTTCCCTTTCTTTGGGGAATAAGTAGTGTCCTAGTGACTGTACCTGTGATTTGGCTTCCCAGACTAGCCAGAAGCTGCAGACTCCTGTGGAAGGTTGCTAGTAAAGCAGAGATCTAGGTGTGTGGTTCTTTTATAATATGAAGGTTATCTGCTTGTACCTGCAGGACTGATTTTGTAATAACAGCCAGCCACGATGGACATGTCAAATTCTGGAAGAAAGTAGAAGAGGGAATTGAATTTGTTAAACATTTCCGTAGCCATTTAGGTAAGTTACCGTGTTTGGTATTTTCTTTTTTCAAAAAGAATATATTATTATTTCATCATTTAAATATGCTTTATAGCACACTTTAAAAATCCGTACCATATTTTAAAAATTGGGTTCTCTAAAGTTACTTAGCTTGAGTGATTAGTTTTTGTGCAAGTAGGGTAGCCAGATGACAGTGGGTAGACAGTTCTCCTGCGCCTTTAAAAGTTGCATAGAAGAAGACATTTCAGCTGGTGTACCTTGCATGACAAGCAGCACCTGATGAAATTTCCTCTTCTACTGGTGCAGGAGTCCTGTCTTCTATTTGCTGCTGGTATGTACTGGGCTTCTGAGCTCTCTCTTCTTCAAGCCCTGGAATCACCTAAAAACCCTTCTTGAAAAACGGCTTTTCAGTATCAAATCAGATACTATATGGAGAACTGAGATCAGAAGACTGCTGAAGCTCTCAGTCCATATTGTGATCTTTGAATCCCAGCCTTCTAGGGCCATTTTATACATGACTATTCAGAAATAAATCCTACTGAGTTCAAAGGTACTTTATCTGTCCCTGCAGCTTTAGTTTGTGACATAATTCCATCTGAAGCATTTATATAGCAATTATGATTTTGTTCAATTTTTTCCTCAAATTTATTCTCTGTAAGTAGACTATTTCCTTTATTTTGCTTGGAATAGGTGTTATTGAGAGCATTGCTGGTAGTTCAGAAGGTGCATTATTCTGCTCTGTTGGGGATGATAGAGCAATGAAGGTTTTTGATGTGGTGAACTTTGATATGATCAACATGCTGAAACTTGGGTAAGTCACTTTTCTTTTTTAATGGTCCTGGTAGATTTCTTAGTGCTTTAGAATACTTCTGTCTAAGAGGTAATTGGTTGTGATTGATTATGGCACACAAATAACGGTGACATGTCTAATTGCTGGTATACTTTTAATAAAGGAGCAGGAAAGAATACAGCAAGCAAATACAGGGTTGCATTACATTGCATATAATCATGAATTGTGAGGGGGACATTTATCAGGAAAAATGTAAAGCAAATTATATTACTTATTTTAAAGTTGCAGTTATTTTGTTGAATTCAGATTCCTTGAGATAAGACATTGAAGAAAAATAAGTATTACTCTCCTCCTACAGCCTTACAAAAGGGACGCGGGTGGCGCTGTGGGTAAAACCTCAGCGCCTAGGACTTGCCGATCGCATGGTCGGCGGTTCGAATCCCCGCGGCGGGGTGCGCTCCCGTTGCTCGGTCCCAGCACCTGCCAACCTAGCAGTTCGAAAGCACCCCCGGGTGCCAGTAGATAAATAGGGACCGCTTACTAGCGGGAAGGTAAACGGTGTTTCCGTGTGCTGCGCTGGCTCGCCAGAGCAGCTTCGTCACCCTGGCCACGTGACCCGGAAGTGTCTGCGGACAGCGCTGGCTCCCAGCCTCTAGAGTGAGATGAGCGCACAACCCTAGAGTCTGTCAAGACTGGCCCGTACGGGCAGGGGTACCTTTACCTTTACCTTTTTACAGCCTTACAAGTGCTGCAAAGCACACCCAGAGTTTTACTTAATGCATGTCAGTTCAGGTGGAGTCTTGCATGAAAAAGAGATGAATGTGCCGAGCTGCCCACCTCCATTAAAGTAGCTGGGGAAATTAATGTACAGTATCTGTGAACTTCTTATGTGTTCTTCAGAGTTCATGTCACAGGTCATGCATATGTGTGTGGGAGAAGGTCCTTGGTGCAGTCTGTATGAGAAAGAGAATTTATGTCCTGCCATTCTTGTTTCTCTCTCTTAAAAAGAGAAATTTTAAACACAATGAAAAATGCTGGTGATGCCACAGGTGTTAGATTAGAATGCTGTCCACATGCAGGTCCCAACACACCCAATGAAGATCATGCTTACTTATATCACTGTAGTCAGTGGGATTTACCTACCAATCATGATTAGGATTTTATTGTTTCAGTCCAATCCTGTGCAGTGATTTACTGAGAATTTCTGTTAAGTGAGTGTTCACAGGATTTCCCCATGTGACTTGGGAGTGAGTTTCATTTAACACAGTGGGGATTACTTCTGAGAAAACTGCATAGATACGGGTTGCAAGTATAGTTAGCAAAATGCTAAACTGATTTTTAAAATGTCTGTTACAAAACAGTTCATGCTGGACTGTGTAGCTTCATGTAGGCTAAACAGAATAGCTTCATGAACTGAATAAAATGAAAGTGATTGCTCTACAGCAGGGGTCTGCAACCTTTAAGACAAAAAGAGCCACTTGGACCCATTTCTGAAGAAAAGAAAACTGGGAGCCGCAAAACTCGTCATTATAAAAATAATTTTTTTGTCACTTTTTATTATTATTTCTTTGTTTGACCCCTCAGAATTACTCCTCCTCATAGAAATAAACGTTAAATTAACAAGTTACCTTTTTGTGTGTGTGTGTTCTTCACTCCCCTTCAAAACAGTGACCAACGTACATGCCCCCTTTCAATGCAGTGACCAGCGTACATGCCTCTTACAATGTAGCGGGCGGGCGGGCAGGAAGGTGACGTCGGGACGGTGCGTGACTAACGCACGCACCGCCCCATACGACGTCACAGCCGGTACAGCGCCCGCCACAGTGGGGAGTGTCGGGGCGCACAATGCACCTCCTCCCCTCGCTAGTATCCGCCCCGGAGCCGCAGCAAAGGTGTAAAAGAGCCACATGCAGCTCCAGAGCCGCGGGTTGCTGACCCCTGCTCCACAGAATAGGAATTATTATAATATTTGTTAATGAAATGGTCATCTTGTAGGAAATAATATGTTTTGCCTAAAAACCTTGTTAAATTAAAGCAATATTTCAAAATATTCTGGAGAAAAATTATTCCATATGTTTTGATTATTATTAGCTTTTTTATTTAGAATATTGAATTTAAATATTTAATCTATATTCCTAAAATCATGCCAATCCAATTGTTCTTTTTGTTTTAGCTACTACCCTGGCCAGTGTGAATGGGTGTATTGCCCAGGAGATGCAATATCTTCAGTTGCAGCGTCTGAGAAGAGTACTGGGAAAATATTCATATATGATGGTCGAGGAAACAATCAGCCACTTCACATTTTTGATAAGCTTCACACATCGCCTCTTACTCAGATACGACTGAACTCTGTCTATAAAGTCATAGTGTCATCTGACAAGTCAGGAATGATTGAATACTGGACTGGGCCTCGCCATGAATACAAATTTCCCAAAAATGTGAATTGGGAATATAAAACAGACACTGATTTATATGAATTTGCTAAGTGTAAAGCATACCTAACTAGTATATGTTTCTCCCCTGATGGCAAAAAAATGGCTACTATTGGTTCTGACAGAAAAGTCCGAATTTTCAGATTTTTGACTGGGAAACTGATGAGGGTCTTCGATGAATCTTTGAGTGTAAGTATATATATATTTCAACATTCAGTTACTTGCCAGTACAGATGATCTTTTTTTATTTCTTTCACAGATGAGAAATACATATATACAAATCATCCTCTATAAAAGGAATATTTTCAGCATTACATTGCAATATCTGTTTAACATTATTACTACACTGGCGATTTATTCTTCTTTTAGTTATACTCCTCAGAGTATGTGGGCTAATAGACTGTAATAAAGATTCTGATAAAAATGGATACCATGAAGTTAACAATCAAGGAAAAATTAAATGGTATTTTTAGAAGACTTTACTGTTGTTACAAATGTTAACTGAATTACTTTTATTGTGCTTTCTAATAAAATTTTATTACTTTTAATTTTCTTCAACTCACATTACTTAACTGTCTAACTACTATAACCTTGTCAGATGCCACATCCAATATATGAATTGCCAACATTTTGCTATACATGTTGAAGTATGTATTTTAATTGTGTAAAGACACATGTAACTAACATTGTTGTATGTTACATAAATTGACCTTTTTAGCACATAATACTAAACTGTGTTTTGTTTAGCCAAAATATGGCTCATCAGAGTGACCATAATTTTTTTCTGGCAAGAAACCATGATGTGAAGCCGTGGAGTCTTGTGGGCTTATAAACCATGGCTTGTTTTAATTCTGGTCTGATGTTCTATTTTAACCATGCTTAACCATGGCTTGTTTGACCATCTCACATTAAATACTGTCAATCTACAGAGGCAAGAGCAGCTGGAAAACAAACCAAGCTTTGGAGAAATAAGTCATGTTTTATTAGCTCATCTATGAGACTTGTGTTTTGAACAAATCATGGTTAAGTCAAGCCATGGCTTAGAGTTATGTGCAAACACAGCATTTATGTGCATACTCAATCTCCTTTGCACATGAATAGAGCACATGAATAGATGTGGCATCTCCATGAAAATAATTCTGCCAACATTCCTAAACTCTTGCAGATAAAACTATACTAAACTAAAAACCAATGTAGCCTACTACAAAATAAATAAGAAAGAATTTAGGTGTTGTGTTTGATGGGCTATATTGATTTATTCATTGAACTTATAACCATTTCATTATATGTCTCAAAGCAGCTTACAGAAACAATTAACATGCATTATACAGAATTTATTAAAAATATATCCAAGTCAAGTTAAACACACATTATAGGTGGTGTCTTGTTTCTGTAGATGTTTACTGAGCTGCAACAAATGAGACAACAGCTGCCTGACATGGAATTTGGTCGGCGTATGGCTGTGGAGCGGGAGCTGGAAAAAGTGGATGCTGTCAGGCTAATTAACATCATTTTTGATGAAACTGGACACTTTGTGCTCTATGGGACAATGTTGGGAATCAAGGTCATAAATGTGGAAACAAACAGGTAAGTCTTGCTCTTACTATTTCATGTTAGCTGTACCTATGTTGTTTTGTTCAGGGATTTCCAAGAGATTTTAAAGAAAGAAGCTCAGCCTTCATAGGCTCTTTAATTGTTCCAAATTGATACATAATACAGTTAAATAGAATTGAGTTGGCATTACTCATTGGGAGAGCTATAGCTCAGTGGTAGAACATCTGCCTTGCATGCAGAAGGTCCCAATTTCAAACGCTGACATCTCCAGGTAGGGCTAGGAGAGACTTCTGTCTGAAATAGTGGAAAGCCCTTTCCAGACAGTGTTAACTGTACTGAGCTAATTGGATCCAGTGGTCTCACTTTGTATAAAGCAGTTTCCTCTGTTCCTATGATCCATGTTAGTTAATTTATATGATTAGTGCCTCCTGATCTGCTAGTGAAATGCTTACCATCTTTTATCACCTATGGGGAATAATGTATGCTTTTCAGAAAGTTAACTCTGACATTTTGGTACTTTGTCTGACAATCACAACTCTTCTATGTAGGTGAATAGCCATGGTTTATTGTTGGCTTATAAACCATGACTTGCTTAAACTCTGGTTTGAACCCCACATCCCACCCACCCCCTGATATAGTAGTCCTGTGACAGGTTTAGAAGAAAATGGCCTTGTGAGTTAATTGTATCCCCCTTGAAACCAAGGTTAGTGCACGGAATGGAGGCCCACCCCCACCCCCCAGATGTAAAGATTCAGTGCCCAGTTTCACATTCCTGCTGAATGATGATAGGGGACTATCCACATAATTTGCAGATTTCCATTGGTTAAATGATTCCAGATCATACATTTTCATCAGCTACCCATCTGGGACCCATAATATGAGAACTGATACTTTAGATCAGCTTTCTGGTGTGTTATAACTGACACTTTTTCATTATCCATTTGTATTAAGAGTATTACTTCCAAATATGTTTGTTAAGAACATAACAGCCCTGCTGTATTGGGCCAGAAGTTCACCTAGTTTCTAAGCCCACAGTGCCTTCCAGAAGGTCGTCGATATCCCTATGATGTACTGGGGATCTTTGCTTCCAAATTAATCCAAAAATTAATATGATTTTTGGATGCAGGGTGCTCTGAAATATTACATATTAAAGGCAGGCTACATAATGATTTTGAAGCTCACGAATTTTCCTTTCCTGTATGTAGATGTGTTAGAATCCTAGGCAAGCAGGAGAACATCAGGGTCATGCAACTGGCTCTGTTCCAAGGTGTCGCAAAGAAACACCGTGCTGCTGTTACAGTAGAGATGAAAGCATCCGACAACCCCGTTCTTCAGAATATCCAAGCTGATCCAACAATAATCTGCACCTCCTTCAAAAAGAACAGATTTTATATGGTAAGTTTATACCAGGGGATCTAGCTGGCAGTTTTCCCACCCCCTGTAGGCTACTTTTAGCAGATGGGTGTGCTGCCCATCTTTCAATCACCTAAAGTTGCCAAGTGATTTCCCCCCTTTTTGATAACCTTTGATATAATACTCTTCACATGTCTTACAACTTGGTTCTAATTCTAATATGAATTTTAGTACATTTTTGTACTTCCTTATACCAAACAAATAGGGTGGGGGTGTCTTGGTGACTATTTCATTATGAGAACTCCGCTTAAGGTAAAAATGCAGTAGAAACCTTCAAAGATACAGGGGCCACAGAAACATGTCTTTAAAGCTATAAAAACTTAATATTTTTTGTTGAGATTTTTGTTGAGATGTTGACAGTCTTCAGATATTCTAAAAATATGCCAAAGGTCAATTCCTTTCACTTGGCATATGACCAGAAACAGTTTGCAAACTACAGCCTATCACTAGTTAGGAACAAAATGTCTTTGGAACTACAGTGTATGATCCTTCCAATTCCATTAGTCAATAAGAGAAACAAGGATGCTGCTGCTATCTTGTCCTTCAGTTTACCAAACGTGAACCAGAAGACACCAAAAGTGCAGATTCTGACAGAGATGTATTTAATGAGAAGCCATCTAAAGAAGAGGTCATGGCAGCCACTCAAGCTGAAGGACCCAAGCGAGTTTCTGATAGTGCCATTATCCACACAAGCATGGGAGATATACATGTCAAGCTCTTCCCTGTTGAGTATGTATATGACTACTTTTATATTTCATTCCATTTTTAATAAAGATTCTCATTATCTTGAGCTACTGTTGGACCATTCACTACCATCATTGACAGAGCTGCACCTTTTCCCTTGGTTTGCTTATGTTCCATTCCCTCATATCTATGGCACCACCATTTTTGTTCTGGTAAACCATTTTTACTGCTACTGCTTTCTCCTACATTGTGACAAAAGGAAGAAGCTTGTAAGCTTTCCTTTTTTCCATGACAAGAAGGCAGTTTTAATTTGTAATATGCAAAATGAGTTACAGAATGTGATCATGAATGAAGAGTTGTCTTCCTACTGAATGATCTGCCAGTTCTTTATGGATAGCTGCAGTCAAGTGCTCTCAGTTTCACTAGAGCATCTACAAATACGGACTAATTCAAAACATTACCCTATTCCAGTGCACTAAGTACTATACTAACATCTAATACCTTTTAACTGCAGGTGTCCCAAAACAGTGGAAAACTTCTGTGTACATAGTAGGAATGGCTACTACAATGGCCACACCTTTCACCGCATAATCAAGGTAACTTTGGTATTAGTAACAATATTTCTGTGTTCTCAAATGTTGTTAAGCTCGTTAGATAAACAGGGCTGCAATATCTTTAATTTTTCCTGTCCCATAATGGCTTATGCACATCTTATTATTAAGTCCTACCCTACTTGTGGATTTTGCATTTGCATTTCTGAAGGATTTTGTGCAGAATTCCAAAACTGTAATCACAGCATATCAATCTGGGATACAGTGGTGTCACCACTGTAGATAAAATGGATAGACATTTTTTCTCTTTTCTTGGTAATACTGAAATTTGGATCTCTTAATGACACTGATTAATAGATTTGAGTCAGACCAAAAAAAGTACTTCACACAGTACATAATTAATTTTCAAAATTTGTTGCTATGAGATGTGGTAATCGCACTAGGCTTTAAAAAGGGATGTGACACATTCACAGAGGATAAGGCTACATGTATGGATGCTGGTCCTGATGGCAGTATGGTCCTTCCTGGTTGCGAGGCTGTATGTTTCTGAGTATCAGTTCTGGAAACAGCAGCAGGAGGAGGCTCTTGTCTTCAAGTCCTGCTTGTGGGCTTTCTGGAGGCATCTGATTTAGCAACCATTTTAAGCAGGATGTTGCACTGTGCCTAATCCAGCAGGGCTGCTAATGTCCTAAATTGTGATTTTTCTTTCTCCCCCTCCAAACGTAGGGCTTCATGATCCAAACTGGAGATCCTACTGGAACCGGAATGGGAGGTGAAAGTATCTGGGGAGGAGAATTTGAGGATGAGTTTCACTCAACTTTGCGACATGACAGGCCCTACACGCTTAGTATGGCTAATGCAGGACCAAATACCAACGGCTCACAGTTTTTTGTAACAGTAGTGCCAACTGTAAGTACCATGTCAGATGTCTTAACAGTGGTCATTGAATTGCCTCTTAGTGAGTAGCAAAAGTTTTGAGGCTGTTGGTAGATGGAAGGGTGTTCCATTGTGTCTGTTGTCTACTATAAGGATGAGGAAGCCTATGGACTTCCAGATGTTGTTGAACTACAGCTCCTGTCATCTTGTGACTAATGATCATGCAGGCCTTGTAATGCAGGTTATAGTCCTGTAACTGAAAAACCACGTTTCCCATCCCTAGTCTACTTGGTGGTTATAGGGCAAGGAGCTGAAGGCAGCCACCATATTACATTAGCTGCAGAAAAACATTATTGTTATACTTTGTTTCCCTGAACAGATGAGGTAATAAGCCTGTACCTGGCCTGTACCATTTCAGTTGTGGGTGGGAGCACCCATGATTGAATGCTTCTTCAGAGAGCCAGCATCTTTTGCTGCCCTTGACAGCCAGCTAGAATTTGTTACTATATGCTCTGCCTTATCTCCCAACTCAGCAGAGTAGCAGGGTCTTCTCTGATGTGGAATTGGGCTTTGAGAGCACTTGGAGGCATTGAGTTTGGTTATACTGTGATGCTTCCAAAGCTTGCCACAATTGCAGGAATGAACCCCTACCCTTCTGCTGGGCTTATGAGAACAGCAAGGAGACACATTGTTGTACAGGGTGCGTCCTTTAAAAGAGGCCCCGTGGATACAGAATACACATGTTCCACAGGGCCTCTTTTAAAAGACTCACCCTGTATATGTAACTGTGCTTCAGAGGGTTTGGAGAAGCAGGAAGAAGTTTGAAGAGCATCAGCATCCCTCTGAAACCAGTGCAAAACTGGATATGAGCTATTGCCCACTTCTCATTTTTTGTGCATATGTCAGGTTAAGAGATGCTGGCTATTAGCAAACCCCTATGTTCCTCTGCAGACACTGGCTGAAAAGTCCAAATGGAGTAGTTCTCTGTAACACAGCTTTAATCTGATTACTTTTTTAAATTAAAAACATATCTTGCCCTTCTTCTGAGGTGCTTGTGACATCCTATCTGCTTTATTCTTGCTACTACCAGATCTGGAAGATAGTGATTGACCCAAAGTGTGCTGCAGTTCAAGGCTGAGTTTCTATCTGAAGGCAGGGGTCCCTGGGCTAAGTCCAACACTTGTCTTTCTTCCACTAGATAGGCCTCATCCCTGAATGACTTGCATCCAGTGTGGCTGGGCAGAAAACTTTCTAGGTCGGGTCTCTCCCACCCCCCTCTGTTATCCTCTGGCAGGATAACAGAGACATGAGGAGAGGTTTTAACATCAAACCTACTACGCAGCTGCTCTCCTGGCTGCTTACCATCAAGAGATGAGTTATCTGTTTCATATTATTGTTATGTTATATGTTGCCTTGTGAACCACTAGATTGGAAAGGGGGATACACATATTTAATACAAATAGCTTAAATAATCTGTTTGGTAAGAAGGTAGCAGGATTTAGTTCTCCTACCCCACCCCCCACCAAATGATCAAAACTTGTCCACAACCTAATATGTGCACAGAAACTGTAAAGGCAGTACCAGTTTTGTGTTTATGGTTCATTATCCAGCTTGGGATATCTGTGGAAACTGCTTCCGTGCACATGCAGCCTTTTGGAGAGTTAAACAAGTCAGCAAACAAGCAAGCATTAAGTGTAATAGTGTTTAATTACAGAGATCCTGTTAGCGATAGTTTACATTACACAGTTCTCAGTATAGTAACTTGAGATTTAATCATAATTTTCTCTTCCTTTTGCTCCGCCAACTTGATCTATGGCCTTGCGCAGCCATGGCTGGACAACAAACACAGTGTATTTGGAAGAGTATCTAAAGGAATGGAAGTCGTCCAGAGAATTTCAAATGTGAAAGTCAACCCCAAAACTGACAAGCCCTATGAAGATGTCAGCATTATTAATATCACAGTGAAATGAAATAAGAGTTTTAAAGAAACCTTGCAATTAAGGGACTTCAAAAACGATGCACCTCGTATCTCAGTTTTTCTGCAGTGGAAAGGTTGATATCTGCTCTGAAACTTTCTAATCATTATGTGTCTGAGGTGCTCTCAGCTGTATCTTTTTAAAAAATGTTTTTTATACAAAAAATAAAAGCCAGCCATGTTAAGAAAAATATGCATCTTGTGTATATATTGCAATGGTTTCTATTACGGAAAAATGCTGCAGCATTGCGAGCAGCTGTTCCAGCACTGAGATATTTTTGTGTCTTCCAATACATTACCCACAAAATAGAATGGGGGGAAAAGTTTTTTTTAGGGTTTTAAATGTATTTAATTGCAAATACAACATGTAACCATAATCACTACTGTGCATTCTTGACAATAATAATCTCTTTATACTAAATAACATACAAAACAAGTGATAATTTGAGCCACTGATATTTGCTAATACTAAATAGGTATCATTTAGGTTTTGAGTGGAATTGTTATAAAAGGATTATAGTGATTTGTCCCCTTCTTAATGCATTGTTCTTGAAATTTGAGCAAGATTGGGAAAAGTTCATCTTTTCCCCCCTGGCAGATGGTTGCAGAGTGTGTATGTTCCTATTTGGAGGGCAGCAAAGGCGCATAACCTTGCGACACCTTCTGGCAAACCACTGCCAGATAATTGCCTACTTCCATTCATCAGCTTCCCTCCTTCATGGGGTGGAATCCCTGCAGTCTGTCTGCAGGAGAAAAGCAAAACTGTTGCTTCAGTGTGGCTCACTGAAGAACTTGGGGAATGGGACAGGGCTGGAGGAACAATCTCTCGGCACTAGATGGCACTAATGAGGAAGTGGTTCCCGCAACTTGCAGTTTCTTAGAAGTGCTTAAGCGGCTTGGAAGAAGAGCAAGTGATGCTAAATATCTTAGCTGTGTTGAGGAAGAGCAGGAGGGGAACCCAGAGAGGGGAAGGAGGATGAGAACCATCCCACTTTGCTTAAGCCCTGTAATCCTCTTCATTGCTTTCAGGGGTTCTCTCAAGAAAACCTTGCTTCAGTAATCCCTGGAATTATGAGAACAGTGAGTGGGGTGGCTGTCATTTGGCAGCATTACCTAGGCACCTCCACTGGCTTCTGGTTTCAATTTTATCTGCTAGCTTCAGACTGCAGGCTATCCATGCATATTGGCCAGTTTCCTCTCACTTATCACCTTCATTTTGTGCCCCAAGACTAAGTGCGGTCAACCTCTGAACATGCACACGTGCCATTTGTTTTGACCACATTCTTATGCGAGCTGACATCTATAAAGAATGGCAGGAGACAATTAGCATTCATTTGAAACCTCCCACTCCCACTTACAAATATAAACCATCCAACTTCCAGACACATTCACTCATTATTCACTTTCTTGGTTGACCATAAATAAATTTTTGATTGGGGGGGAAATAAAAATTAAGTGGCAAAAATCTACTTCAGAAAGACTGACACATTCCACCAGCTGGTTAGAGAATTTTTATTGTAAGGGAGTCCAAGGCCATTTTGAAATCACACCATCAATTTTTTTTTAATCCAACATTGTTTTGTGAGCTATTTTATACCTTGTGTAGCCTCAGAACATGGAATTATTGGTGCTATAACCCCTCTCAATACTTCCATTCACTCCCAATCCACAATTAGAAAAGAATTCATTACATACAGTTAAAAGCTAGAGTATGTCAAGGAATGAAGCCCTATACATTAATACGTTATTTTTTAAAGCAATACGTTAATATACACCTCTTTATTGTCACTGAATGTTGCATTTTAGTTTCACAGTTAAAACTAGACTATGACCCAATTGTTTTACAAACTGTTCTTAATACAGCTTTTATGCTAACCTTTAAAAATCTCCTTGGAGTTGAAACACTTTCTTAAAAACTAGCACATATCAGTATACTAAACTGAGTTGAAGCTCAACATCATATGAAACAAGCTTGAAGTTTATAGCTGAAATTGTTATATACAGTACAAACAAGCTGCTAAAATTTTATCTCGTAATTGTTTGAATTCAAACAAATGCAACACTTATGTTCACAGTCACTTAAGTGGATTTCAATACTTTTAACGCAAGCCCACTACATTTATAGTAGAGCTTGACAGGAACAAACAGGTTTTTGAAAAACAAGTATTTATCCAATGTCCTAAAACATCTTGAGTGTTTTACAAGGAGAGCCCAGAACAATAACACTACAGCAATTAAAGCCACAGAAGAACAATTCACATTTACCCTTCCCAACCGCTGCATTATCACGTGTTGTCATGCATTTGAATAGTGTTGAAAAATAAAAGAGGGTATAAATAAGTGAAAGCCTGGCCTCACTGAAATGCAGTCAAAAGTCTCCAAATTATTTCAAACACACAGATAGGCCTTGCACATAAATGCATCAAGTCTAGGTTTGTGGTATGCTGTGAAGAGGTTATTCATTGAGGCAGAGGAAAGTTCCTTGAGGGTAAAGGTCTCTTGTATGGGCAGTGATAGCCACTTGTTGTAACAAAGCAGGATTCAGCAAACAAGATTTTAGTTAAAGTGAGAGTGGTTGTAAGTATCTGCTTCATCTAGAAGAGCCAGAAAAGAAAGGAACTGCATCGTGACAACAACTGTATCTCAGCTAAGTAGCAGAATTCTCATGCTTAAAATCAGACCTGTGGCAGCCTACTATATGCAATATTCCTAACTGAACACCGCATGAAGCTTTCAAGGTATTCAGACACTTCGGAATCTTATACTTGTGAAGAATTTGAGAGCCCTTAGTAACAATTTTCTAGATCAGCTTACCAGGAAAATTTCACCAGAAAGGTTGGAAAGGTAGTTCTGCAATCCTACATTCAATTACACAGGAACAAGCCTCACTGGACACAGTGCAACTTCATCTCCCCCCAAAAAAACCCCTATGCATGGTCTTGCGCTGCATCCTCAATGCGTATAGCTGGTTACAAAAAGCAACATGTTCAACCATTTCAGGATTAACGTTTTGAAAAGACCTCTATTTGAAGTAAACACATGTTGCATGTGGAACCATGAACAGCTGGTGAGGTGCTGCTCTGGGTAAGCTGATATACTGCTACCCCCAAAGGATTATCTAATTACTAGTTATAATTATGTAATATTAGTTGTGTTATCTAGAACCAACATAGGGAAAACGGTCTACTCAAAGGGTTTCTGAAAGGAACATTACGGGCCAGATTCAACTAACCAGCTTGTCAATGGAAGCCAGCACTAGGACTCCTGCTAATGCAATGCAGCTTCCCCCCTCCTTTCCCAAATCTGCTCTGGAAGGTTGGTAAAACCCCTGGAACAGTCCATGGGAAGGAGAGGGACGATAATTTTGTCCAGCAAGCAGAAATTCTTGTGCTGGGAGCACAATTAGAAGGGCATGATGTTTAATTCCTATGTTGCTTGGGGAGAGAATCTGGATTTAAAAAACAGATCTATCCTTTTTAGACCAGTACCAGCAGTCAAATTTGCCTGCCTCAGCCCTGCCTGCTGCAGCCTGGGGACTAGTGACTACAGCAGCGTGGAATCAGCATTTGAACTCTGAACTTTTACTCAACCACATACATGCCCTCTTCATGGTATAAGATACAGGGAACTTCCTCACACAGCTCCACACAATTCCTCCATTGGTGTATCTGCAGAAGGTTATCCAGATGTATGTTACAGAACTTGGGTCCTGTAACTCGAGTGTCCTGTCAAAGACACACATCCTTTTTCCTCAGTGCACTGAATGTCCAAAAGGATGAATCCAAATGTTAACAACTGGTGTCTTCACGTAATTGGGTTAAATATTTCACTGACCTGCAAAACACAATGTGCTCAGGCAGCTAACCAAGTGATAAACTGATTAAGGCTAACGAGATAAACTGCTACAGATCCTTGTTACAGAGCTTTCCCCATTCACAGATCCTCTGACGTTAGAAAATATATATACAAGCCTATCCACCATAGAATTGTAGCCGAAAAGAAGTTTTGAAGGCAAAGCTTACCCCAGATTTGAGTAAAAGTGCAGCCACTGTGACAGTGTAATTGTGCTTCAATGTTTCTTATACAGGGAGTTGCAAGAGAGGTACTTCAGCTTTCCAAAACTGTACATGATTTCCCATCAAGAACTGAAAATAAACCATTACTGATCTTATGGAAAGAGGGGTATGTAATCATGTTCCACCAGATCAGAAGTTGCCTGCATGGCACAATGTACAAACAGAATTCAGATGAAGGAGGGAAAGGAGGATTTTAAGAAGCTGATTAAAATAAAACTTCCCCAAAAAAGTCTTTAAAAATGTATATTTAGGCAATGTCTACTTGCGACCTCAGTCAGACAAACAAATACAACTGAGGAGAGATTTTAACCAGGGCACATTTAGGTCTACACTTGGATAGCTGGAGACCTGACCGGCCATTAACCCGGGCCCAAGAGTTTCATCCTGCATGAGAAACTCTAGCATCCATTTTACTGCTAGTCCTTCTGCAAGGTGGTGTTTTTTCCTCTAAAATGGAAGATGAAGGAGGAAAACGACAATGAAACTTTGAAGGAGTTTGGTTGCAGTAGCTTCTGAGGGGCAGCGGGGATATTTGGAGCTACAGAGTAAGGATGGCAAAGGTCTTCTGGCCTGATGGCAGCATTCACCAAGGACCACTTGCTACTGGTAGGTGTGCCCATTCCACACTCTCACACATGCAAGCTACACAAGGTACCCAGACGAAATGCACACACATCTACAAGTACATAGGCTCCATGCCCAAGCCGGCACCATGTCTACTTCATTTTTCTTTTTATCAAGAAGTGGTTTGTGTGTGCCTGCGTGCCCAAGTGAGATCTGAGAAAAAGCGAATGCAGCTAGGCCAACTCTGAAAGGAGCAAGGTCAAATAAATGCTAAGTTCCTAAAGTATTTGTGAGAAGATAAATTAGTTGCTTAATAGGTAAGACCTTTCAAATCTCATTTCTTAAAAAAAAAACAAAAACACCAAGGCACCTTTCTTGCAAATCCATCACGCCACTATTAAATTACCATAATTTACAGGAATTACACACTCACTGTACCACACTCCAATAAGCATTCCAGCAAAAATGTTAGTTGTTTTCTTTAGAATACATAGCCTTAGATGAAAAGTTCGTGTTTGACCATCTCAAGTCACACAAATAAATTAAGTGAT